TGCTGCGCTCGTTTTTCCCACTTTTTAACCCTTTCCCATTACCCTACCCATTACTGCGCCACACGTTCCTGTCCTGTCAGGTTCTAAACAAGATCTACGAGGGCAAGACTGCGTTATTAAACTGGGTCACCGGCATGACGGGGCTCACACACGTGGACATTCAGCGAGTGGACGTGAGCGGCGAGGAGCTGCAGCGCTTCACCGCCCTTACGGGGCTGGTGCACTTGGGAGTGGGGGACCTCAATTTGGAGTGTAGCGGCCGGGGGGGAGAGCTGGTGAGAGGAGGGGGGGAAAGGGGTGAGGGTTTTTTTGTGCGTGACGGGGTGGGGGCCAGTCAGGGCGGGAATGAGGGGAAGGTACGGGGAAAAGTGTGGGTGGGTGGGTGGGGGTTATGTGTGGAGGGTAAAGGGAGGGAAAGGGAGAGGGGGAAATGGTGGGAGCTGGTAAGAAGGGGGTTAGGAGGTGCTCGCGCCTTTCTGCCCTTCATCGTCGCTCTTCCTCCCTCCTGGAGAAACCAGTTCTGTTTCCTTTCCCTTATGTGTGCTTATATGTTCTCCGCTTACACGTGTGGGTGGGTGTGCGTGTGTGCGCGTGTTTATGTGTGCACGCCCTCAGGATCACCCCCTTCCGCTCCTCTCCGTGACGAAACTTGTCAGCCACAACATCCTGTACGAGGCGCATCTCCGTACGACATTCCCCTCCCTGCGGGCCTTATCATGTGACTCTACGGACAGCAGCCTCAAGAACATAGCGGAGATTGTGAGCGGGGTGTCAGGGTTTGTGATACGAGGGCGACGAGGGAGTTCGGAGGGTTGGACTTGGGGTGGTAAGAGAGGAGGGTTGGACATGGGTCTATGAGAACCGGCTGAAAGTGACCGGAAAGGGAAGGGGAGGGGGGGGGTAAGACGAACCACCGACGATTGAAGCAGATGCCAGAGATAGATTACGGATTAACCAGGACTATAAGGGTGCTGCATCAGGAAAATTTGTAAGGCTGTGACCAGCAATGACGTGGGCGGGGGGAGTCACATGGCGGCGGATGTGGCTGGCCAGCTAGATTGCGAAACGAGTTACTAGCTGGCGGGTTCATAGAAGGGCAGAAGGCGAAACAGCGAAATGACAACCTAGCCGCTGAGATGAAAGAAAAAAGCCGGAAGGAAAGCAGAAAAGCAAATGAAGCCGTAGAGGTAAAACGTAGAGAGCTAAAGGCGGCGAAGAGGAAAAGGTATCGAAAAGTGTATCTATCAGAAGGTATACACGCGCAGTGGTGGTGGTGGTGGTAACGAATGACGTGCCGCTTTCCTTGCTGCTACCTTTCCCCGGCCCTCTCCTTCCCTCCTCCTCCCTTCCCCGCCCAGACCAGCCTGGTCAATTTGTTCCTTTGGGACAACCCCGTTGATTCCATCTCCGACGTGGGTCTGGCGGGACTGAGCGGTTTGCGGCGGCTGGAGACGTTCCGTCTGGAGGGCAGCGGGGCAGTGACCGACAGCGGCTGGGTGGACTTCACATCGGCACACAGCGCCCTCACCAAGATCGACCTTGCCAAGTGTCCCAACATAACTGGTAAGCCTGGATCTGGATCTGCAGATCTGGATCTGCAGATCTGGATCTGCAGATCTGCAGATCTGGATCTGGGTGTGAGGGTGTAGCCGTGTAAGTTGTGTGGAGGAGGGGTAGGGAGGGATGGAGGACAGACATGGACAGACATACACACTTGCAACGTCCGTGTCCTCCCCGTGTCTCAAAACCCGAATTGCCTGATCTGACCCATGGGTCTTTTCCATCCCTCCCTCCCTCACCCCGCTCTCTCTCTCTCCTTCAGACATTGGCTTTATCTTGTCCATTCGGAACCTCTCACGTCTGGAGCGCGTGTCCTTTACGGAGTGCCCCCTCATCGACACCAGGACCCTGGCGGCGCTGCTGGCCTTCTGTCCCAAACTTGAGCTCTTGGAGCTGCAGGTGTGCATAGAGCTTTTGGGTTTTGCGGTTTCTTTTGAAAACCATAGCCTTGCATATGTATGTATGTATGTATGTATGTATGTATGTATGTATGTATGTATGTATGTATGTATGTATGTATGTATGTATGTATGTATGTATGTATGAATGCATGTATGTATGTATGTATGTATGTATGTATGTATGTATGTATGTATGTATGCATGTGCTGTTCTCGTCCCCAAACTCCTGAGGATGCGGTGTATGGTGCGCTTGGGGGGTGTGCGGCGCCGGCCCTGGCCCTCTTTAGCTGGGGTTGTGACACACCCGCTTTGGACAATCTCCTTTAGGCGGTTTGTTGTCTCCTTGATGCAATTGATTTTCTGAGGATGCGTGTAATCGTCCCCCTTTCCCGCCTTCCCCCCTTTCACCTCGTGCCCTCCTTTCCTTTCCTTTCCTTGCAGGACTGTGATTCCGTATCACTGGCCTCGCTCCGAAACCTGCTGTCGACCGCCTCTCATCCGGATCTAGAGCTGGTGTACCGCAAGTGGGTTTTTTAAAGTTTTTAGTTCTTTTATTATGTTTATTAAGTTTTTGAATTTTCAGGGAGTGTGTGTGGGGGGGGTCCCCACACTGCAGTTAGTCCCCTTAAGCATTTACGTGGAGGCGTGTGTGGATGAAAACAATGTAGGGCGGAACACGGTGTGCCTGTGTGTCTGTGTGCGTGTGCCTTTGTGTGTGTCTCTTGTGTGTGACTCCGTGTGTGTGTGGGTGGGTGCGCGCGTTATCAGTGTGTGTTTTATAAAATTGAGTTGCAATTAGGACGTTTTGACGGTGTATGTATGTGTGTATGTATATATGTGTAGTCGGTGTCCTCTCTTACCTGCGTCTGACTCAGGAGGGTGGGACGTGAGTAATAACCACATTGCCAGTGCAAGTCCAAGCCAGCACCTGCTCTCTTATCATTTCGATGAAGGAACCCCTTCACTCGCATGCAGGGGCCGATCCATGCGGACGATGCATTGCTGCCGGTGACATGACAAGATAGGCGGGGTGGCCAGATGGGTCGTCGCGGTCCTTGTCTCGGCGATGACGGCAGCGGCTGGCAGAGCACGGGGCATAAGCTTCCCTGGAGTGCTGCGGCCTGGGAGCCGTACGGCCAGCAACCGCGACAGTACCTTGCCACAGCCGTTGCTACCTGGGTGGGGTAGCACTGTTGTGCTTGCGTTACACCCTGGTTTCGGAGGGGGCATCCGCGGCTTGACAGCGGCTCGAGGCGGGAATGGCGCGGATTCTTATCACCTCACCTCTTTAAGTGTTGCACCGTATGACATGCAAGCGTACTATTAAGTATTGCTCTGTACATCGTAACGATGTCATTATTGGGGATCTGCCGTTGTAGGTGTGTCTTGTAGTTTAGCTTGTAAGCATACTTGCTTTGCATATAAATAATCATTAACTGCACACTGATAATATTGATGCGGGTAGCAATAGCTCCTTTGATTATCTTCCATCTTTGTGCCCTGTGATTACTTGACCACAGCTGAATATTCTGCATATCGCTCCGCGCATGCTACAAAGGAATGGCATGGCACGGCACATGAAACGGTGCCGGTGCAGCGCGGCTATGCGAGGCATGAATTCCATACATATATCAGGCTAACGCTTTACCGGGAATACCACACAGTCGCAATTAAAATTAGGCCACCATTCGGCCGCCTTCATTTGTCTGTCAGTCCAGGTCCTGAGAACCCCCACCCACCATTCGTCTCCAATGACAGCAAACCGACAAAGCGCGCCCACTCCTGCTAACCCTCCAAACAAGGCCTAGCTCGCGCAGCCTAGCGAGCAAGCTGCATAGGATCAGGGCTAGGCATTTCATCGATGACCCAGGCTCGTACACAGTAACGAACGGTCATTAATTACTGTCTCCCCATTGTACAAGGTTAATCCTTAGTCTCCAAGCGCGTTGTCCTTCCCAAGCATCCTCGTCAGCGGGCACCTAAAGACTTGCAGAAACTGCTGGTTAAATCAGTTCCCCAAAGAAATAGCACACGCCATGCCCCGGAGATAAAACGTCCCGACCCGGAGGTACATGACAGCACAAGAAAATCGTCCCTTCCTTGGGCACAGGCTACCGCTGCCATATGCCTGCCAAAGCCCAATTGGACCGCCCCATTGTGCGGGCAAGACTCAAAAAACCAGGACTCATGCTCCAGGCCCCTCCTCAACTTGGACACGCCGCCAGCTACGGATCGCCACCGTCCCACTCCAGCTGCTTATGCGGCCGCCGCCTTCGGTTTCTGCGTGGCCTCCTTTGCCCGCACCTCAGCGGCCTTAGCCTGCAGTCTCAAGAAGCGCGCATAGTCCTCGCTATCCTCAGCCGGCTTATAAAGACCAGCAAACATCAGCACATGCTTCTTGTAGCGCGCGCAGCGGGCCTTCTTACGCGCAGCTGTGTTCTCGTGAAGAATACCCTTCACGACCGCCTTGTCAATTTCCGTGTATGCCTCCGAGACAAGCTTCTCAAGGGCCTTCACCTGATCCTCTGAGTGGGCATCTGCGGTCGACATCAATGACTCTGCCATCTTAATGACCTGCAGGGCAACCAAGGGTAGCAAGGAAATGGGTTCAAATCACCAACCCGCTTCTCACAACCCATCGCTTCAGTACTGTGCCACATTTTACATCACAACTTTGCAGCCTTATAATCACCTTCTTAACGCGGGTTGCGCAAGCAGACTTGCGGCTCTTGTTGTACAAGCGGCGCTCCTCGGCCAGCAGAGCGCGCTTAACAGGACTGGGCATCTTCTTCTTCTGATCCTTCTTCGCCTCAGCAGCCATCACAACTAGAGCGCCGCGTTCGACGGCAGGTCGGCTCACTGGAGCTGCAGAGAAAAGACACAAAGCAGCGCAGCCACATAGAAAGTTCAGTCATATTGCAGTCTCCTTATTGCCAACTTTCTAAGCACAATCCTGCCTAAGGCCTACGTACCAAAGGTGGGCTTCACGGGCGTGAATGCGCAGCGTTGAGGGCACGCGCGCAGAAGCGTCTGGGTCCGCATGAGCGAGGCCATTTTGACTTGGCGAAAGACTACTACGGTCCTAGATTGCTACCAATGACCTAGAAGAGAAACGGGAATGGTAATGACGCAAAATTTGGAACGCCGAGTTGCTCCATTGGACGACAAGCCGTACGGCGGCTTCACCTCCTCAAGTTATCATAACGACCTGCCTACTTGCTTAACTTTGCTAATTTCAACTCGAGTCATATCTTTAGAAATTATTGACAACTGGTCCTTACGCAAATTAGGTCAGGAGTTTACCAGGGAAGCGTTCTTTTGGTCTTGACTATCAGCTCCGCCGAGGACGTTCATAGTGTGACACGCTTCACATCACAATCTTCTTCTGTGGTACGAAACGGTTGTGAGTCGTCTCTACCTTCGTTTATGCGATGCAAGGCATCTGGTGAATGTCGAACACATCAGGCCCTTACTAAGATTGATCCACCCTGGTCCTTGTTGCAACCTCTCCAGAGGCGAACAGACGTGTGTGTGTGTGTGTGTGTGTGTTGCCAGCATCCAAAGTTCCGTTGCCCTCGCTTGTATTTAGTCCTTCACCTAGCAGGTTGAAGGCTGAAGGCCAGTGCTGTATTACGGTATCGTCGGATTGGAGACAACTTTCAGTGGGTTGGCAGGTGGGGTCGGACGCGGCCAGGGCAATGTGCGGCCATGGGCGTGCAGGTAGGGTTTCACTAGCAAGTAGAGCGGCGTGTACGTGACAGGGGTTGGATTGGGCAGGCGGTACGTGGCCCCAATGGACTTCTTTGCCGTACACCCACAGCAAGCTCTCGATTGACATTACAAACAACGATTAACGTCTGCGCGTAGCAGCCGATCCCTATTTCCTGCGGTGACACTTCCGGCGGTAATGTGCCACAGGTGCTGCCAGAATCCCCGGCTCCAACTACTCCTGCCAAATGAGGCTATGCGGTAGCTACACCTATGGCACATTCTTTAATTTGCGCCGCATAAGCATAAGCGCACGCCACTGTCTAATGCATTTGGTTAAAGCGAAAGCAAGTATAAATGGCGCGCCCACCTTCCCATTCCATGACCGTCTCCCATCGAACGTTTGCAGGATTCCCAACTTCACATTAATATATTGCTCTGCAAGACGGGTCACCAGCATTAAGCCCGTCATCATCTCTACATGGCTAGTGCTACTCCTAACATACATTCCTATGAAGGCACCCAGGCGTCACCGCCATCCATCCCCAACCTCCCTGTGCGATGCATCGTGTCTTCATTCCGCAGGGCCGCCAAACAAAACTAGCAGGCAGGCAGGCACCGGTCGCTAGATGCTCGCCATATGGCAAATAATCGATCCGTGTCGAAGGCGCAAGTAAACAGATTACGGCAGCGTCAGATAACGACACCGCCTTGCTTTCATATACCACCGACCAGCTCCAAAAAACGTGTTATTTGTTACGTCCGTCGAACTTTCTTATCCTATCTGACGAATGCGATGGAATTTAGTGTTATAGTTAGATACGCGCGCGCGCGTGCGTCCGCGCGTGTGTGTGTGTGTGTGTATGTATGTGCTTACGGCGCATTTCATCTCTTGTTAAGATGCGGGAGCAGACAGTAGTAATACCCGTCCACTACCACCACGCACATAGCCACGAGCCAAAACACCGCTTGTCGTGACGACGTCAAGAAGCTCCCGATAATGGTACGCGGCACGCCCCTGCACCTCCGTCCATACACACTTACCACCCTGTTGACCACCGCATCAAGGGGGGGCTTCTATCCACATATAGCTATCCATGGCGGACACACCGTCATCCGCCACACGCCCTAAGCACAGGACCTACGAGGCCCATGCACCGCAGGGCTACACGATGACGCCCATCGCTTTCCGAGCTCGAGCTTGCAACATCAGCGCACCATGACCCCAGCACAGGAAGCCCCTTTCTCTCCCCCCCCCCCACACACACATACACGCATTACATCACCGCCTCAATTTGAACGCGGTTGGAGGCCCCACCCTGAGGACGTCCCGCTCCTTCCGGCACTTCCCACCACCTGATTTATGATACATCTCTTGATGTATTACCTGCTTGTTTAGCGTCAAAAGCCCCCCAGTCAAGACGCTAACGTTCACGTTAAGCCCGAGGAGAACGACGCCAAACCGACATAAACGCCTGCTCTACCTGTTCGCGATTCTCAGCGGGATACCCATCAGCCCCGCACAGCCCCTCTCTGCTTTTGACTTTCTGTCTGATCGCAGTCCTTCGGCTTCGGGCACAATGCAAACTCTCCATACCTTAGTTGCGGTGGAGTCGGATGGATGGAACCGCACGCACAAGCCCAACAAGGCACAGCTGCCCGGGAACCTGCCCGCCGCGGTCCTCCCATCCAAATCCGAGAAGTCTGTCTGTCTGTTTGCATATCTGTCAGTCACGACGAAAGCCACAAACCGAGTGGGCATACGCCTATGCCGCGCGAAGCGAGTCTGTCAACCTTTGCTAGTACGACACCATTTGTCCATTTATGCAAGGGACAAGCTAGCATGGTAACAGATACAAGATACCCCCCCCGGCCTGGGCGGAAGCGCCCGGTAGGATCTTAGTCTAGGAGGAGGTCGGCCCCGGGCTGGATCTGCCTGTACGGCCGTACTGGATTAGCAGCGTGTGTCGCCGCCGATCTCAAAGGGTCACCAGCGTCGAGGCCGGCACACAAGCCCCCGCCGCCGCCGCCACCAGCTGCTACTGCTGCTGCTGCTGTCGGTGCCGCCGTCAGGATCCCTATCCCGGCAGCGCCACCTGCGCTCGTACCCACCTCCGGCAGCAGAACACCGGCGTCCATAAGCATCTCCCCGTACTCTCCGTACTCTAGATCCGGGGCCTTACGTCCCGTAGCGATGGCAGCGGCACCGCCGCCACCACAGCCCAAGTCCAAATCGTCTAGGAGCGACGGCGATATGCCGTAAGATGGACAGCCGCTGCCGCAGGGTCGCCGCGCCGCCGTTGCTCCGGTAGCGGTGGAGCTGCTAGCTGGCTCCACGCCGCTGTGGTGGTGTGACCCCGCTCCTGACATCTGATGACCCACGGGCCACTCCGGTTCCCAGCCTCCCCCTGGCGGCGGCGCAGAGCTGCCTCCGCCGCTGCAGCTGGGCAACTCCGCTGCCGCTGAGGCGTAGCCGGCACTGCCAGCAGCACCAAACCTGCTCGTGCCCTCCTCCTCCTCAAACGAAATCATGTCGCCACCTTCGGGACCGAATCGGCCCCGTGCGGCGGTGCGCGCAGCACAGACCCCTGCCGCCCCCGCTCCACCGCGACCGTCCGCGTCCCAATCCCGTAAACCGCCGCGACTGCACCCAGCAGCGCCGACATCAGCCGCCGCCGTCAACGCCGCCGCCGCTGCTGCTACTTCCAGCGCCGCATCCACTTCCGCCTCAAGGCTGAGTTTCCGCTGGTGCATCGCCGCTGACGGGTCCGCCGCTTCGGCGGCGGTGGCGGCGCTACTGCTGCCGCCGCTACCTAGTACCTCCGGTGCTGCCGTCGCCGCGTCGCCACCTGCGGCAGCCGACCCCGACGTACTACCCGCCGCCAGCGCCGCCGCCAGGAATTTGCGGTTCGCCACCGTATCCCGCGCCACGTCTATCTCCGCGTCCGTGAGGGGGCTTGCCAGTGCTCGCTCCATGATGGCCCGTTGGCGACCCAGACCCCAGGTCACCGGTTCCATCTGCATGCAGCAGTAGCAGTAGCAGCAGTAGTAGCAGTAGTAGCAGCAGACGTAGTAGCAGTGGGAACGGGGCCAGCAGTAGGGTAAAGGAGGAACAGGTGCAGCGGCACAAGTGGCACTGATTGTCCCTCCGGTAACCCCCCCTGCTCTTCTCACTCTTATACCATTTTTCTTCTCATGCCCTTTCCCGTCTGACCACTACTTCACCACGACCACGACCACCACTAACAACACCTTGAGGTACGTGATAAGCGCCTCGAAGTCATGTCGGGCAAGCAGTCCAGGCTCCAGTACCTCCATGATTGCGAAGGAGCATCGAAGCAGCAACCGATCGTGACCGTCCTGCAGTAACCGGGGGCTCGGTGAACAGCGAACAGCGCGCGGGTAAGGAGACAGAGGTCTGCGGGGCAGTCTCCTGTGCATTGGGGCACTTGGGTTTAACCAAACCCGCACACGCCGGTCCTCCCTTTCCCCCTCTTTCGTGTGTTTTGTTCGTTGGCGCCCCTTACCTCCCAGCGTCCTCCCTTCCCTACCTGCAACAGCACATCTATGACTCGGGCACAGAAGGCCGGCGGGAAGGGCGTCGCGAAGAGCGTCATAAGCCATTGACTGACGTACAGTACGGGAGGAAGGCCGTACTCTGAGAGGTGCACTGCTAGCTCAGGCAGCCGCCACGTCAGCAGAAGTTCAAAGGTTGCCAGCTCAGCCTGTTCGCGGAGATTCGGAGAATATTCTTTCCTTTTGAACGAGGACAGGCGTCGAGGAAGGCGAACAAAGGGAGGAAGTGGAGCAGATTCCTGGGAAGCCCGCAAGGACCAGCCAAAGGCCTAGGAGGAGAAAAAAAGAAAGAAAATGAACAGCGGAATAAAATAACCAGTTCCACCATTCCTGCTGCCTTCCCTTTCTATCTCTCCCCGAACGAGCACCCTAAATCCCTAAGTCCGCCCACACACAACAACAAAAACCGAAATCTTCAGCCAAGCCAACTCGCCTTGAGCGGGTCCAGCCCCGGCAGGTACAGGCGGCGTAGATTGGGCCCCTCGGGGTCCATAAGCCGACAAAACAACCTGCCGCGGGGGGGGGGGAGAAGAGGAAAGAGACAGTTATAGAGATGAGGGGAACAAGGAAATCAGAGACCGGCAAAATCAGAGCCAGCCAGCTTTAGTCAGCAGGATATGCTCAGGACGTCCCGTCAACTGACCTGAACGCGATCTCCTCCGGCACGTACATCAGAAGAACACCTGCCATGAAAGCCATGCCCTGGGGTAATGCGGTCCGCCGCGGAAAAGGTGGATCCGATTCAGTTAGGTGGAGGAGAGCGTGCTGAAGGGCAGGAAGCTCGGCGCAGGGCTGGAAGTGCTGGGCGGAACTGCGCATGGTTTGTAAGTCCCCATGTGGCGTACAACGGACCCACATTAAGATTAAATGCCTATTGGGATGTTCAGACAACCTGTGCAAATACCTTGTGTCATGTTATTTTCAGGACCACGTGAACACACCTGGCAATATGCTACCTCCAGGTCATGTAGGGAATAAGCCTGCAAGGCGCAAAATGACACCGTAAATTCAGAGTGCAAAGCATTTTCATCTATTATAAAGGAAATGGTTTCATTATACATTAATGAATTATAAGTATTAAATTGCAAATGGACAACACCTTCGAGAAAGGTTTCAGCATAACAAGCAACAAGTCGGGACGAAGGGCACGAGGAATAGGCAGAGGAAATATGAGAACTCTAAAGGAGATTGTAGCAGTGGGTATTCGGAAAAATATATAAGGAAAGAACAGGAAAATACATTGGAAAGAAGACGGATGAAAATTGACAAAACAGTTGGTTGCCTCGCAGAGGACCCGTCGGGTGGCCCAGCCCACTCAGGCGTGTGATCCGTCTGCCGCCCGCAGCTACCCGTTTTCGCTGCTCAGGTTACTGCCTCACGCGGTCCCGGATTAATCATCAACCACGACCATCCCCCATCAGGGAGACGCCGTTGTCGACTGTAGGCTCAGAGCGGACACGCCATCGACGCAGGAGAACTGGACCGACGGTATCATGCGAAACTTCCAACTATCAGCCCCCGCTTGGGTGACAGGGAGACGCGACACTCCCCGGCATGATTCGAACCCATGACCTTGACTTTACGCCAAGGTACAGGCTTAGTGGACATGTTAAAATCTGACATTTCGCAATCTATATACATAAAAAACAATAATGTGCTCGTACAAGACGCTAGTCAAGTATGTTTCCAAACCGTTTCTCCGCAGCCGGCCATATTGCCTCGAGAGCGTTGGGAACGTCCCCCTATGCGTTCCCTGCATACTGCACACACCCCGGCCCCCAACCTTACCTTGAGGACCCTGAACAGAGACCTCTGTCCCGCCTCCATTCCAAAGTACGGATGCTCCGGAAAGGTGCGGTGGATGTCTCGCAGAATAGAATCGTCCACTTCTTCCTGGCCTGAAGGGCAAGCAACGGAATTGGGGAAAAGTGATGAGATGCAGTACGACTCAGTTATTATCAGCCGATCAGCACGACCAGCCATGCAAGGGAGGGGAGAAAGCCACCACCGCGTATCGGCAACTTAAAGCTAATGTGTATATCATACATACATCAAATGGTAGCAGTGGAGTTCAAACCGAAACTCTTAAGGCCCCAGAAGACGTATGTGGTGTTGTATGGCTTCCATTGATCTCAGCGCTACGGACAGAATGTGAGGGTGGTATGGCATTATGGGTGATGTGGGTGTTAGCAAGAGGCCAGACAACACATATGGTCGCGCCCATGATAACAACCAAACGACCTAAAGCGCAAGTGCCTGAGCCTCACTCTGCACCACCCCACCACGCATCCACCCCCTCCCCTCTCCTTGCCATTCGGCTTTGGACGCCCACAGCTCGGTGATTTTGTTTGGGGCGCCCACCGTTGATAACCCTTAGCTTCCTGCATCGTCGTCGTGTTCCTTTCCCTTCCCTTCCCGTCCCTCCCCTCCCCGGCCCTGCCCGCCCGCAGCTGTGTATCCTTCACCCCTTGCTGATGTAATCCTTCCCTCCCCCCCTGGACCGCTCTCCGCGCCCAAATGCACACCTGCGGTCATTTCGTTGAGCACTGCAAAGCGGCTCTCTGCAGGGTAGTCCGCCGGCAACCCCACACCGCCCTCCCAAGGCACCTGCGGGGGCGTCAGTCAGTCCATCAGCACATCAATGCCACTACCAGCAGCCACCATCCCAGTAGCAACAATAACAACAACAATGACATCACCATCATCATCATCATCATCAACATCACCATCATCATCATCACCATCATCATCATCAGCAGCAGCAGCAGCACCAGCAGCAGTAGCAATGCCACAGCAGTAGCAGCGGCAATCGAGGGCAGGGACCCCACCCCCGAAGGAGTTCCGAATGTACGACAAACGAAATAATATATTGATTAAAAGATAGATACATAAATAGATAGATAGATCACCGCGAAGTTCAGAAGTATCACCCCCTTAGGGGCGCTCAGGCGGGTTCGAAGGAGCTCTGACTACTACACACGCCGGGCGGTCAGTACGCATGTAAGCATGTACGCTGCGAAGGAGGAGCAAGACCGCGAGCTGGACACGACTTTAATACTTTTATATGCGCTTTTCTGCACAGTGTACTACTACTACTACTCCGCATGTCCCGCTTCCCCTTCCCCGCTCCCAGATACCTCTCTACTCTACTCTACCTGCATCATGGCCTCCAGCACAGCCTGCTGAGCCACCAGCACCGGGTCACTGCCAGACTCGTCCAGGGCGAGGTGACCTGGGGGTTCAGGAGGGCCCGACGAGGGGGGGGGCATGAGTGCTCCAACAAAGCGGCTGGACGTGGGGGTGGTGGTGGGTGGGTAAGGTGGACAACCCCCAAAGGAGCTCTTCAAGACATGCACTTCGGTCATAATTTAATTAACTGAAATAACTGAAATGCAACGAACGGCCTACGGGGCCCTGACACATGGCGGCTATGTGAGGGGAAGTAAACCACACTTGTGTGAATGGCAGGAAATATAATATTTCATTAAACAAACGACGCAGATTCGAACAAACTGATGCAAACTGATGTTTTCTTCGCGCGCGCGCACACACAAGGACACACACACACACAGGCACACACGCACGTAAAAGCTCCCGCGCGCGGTGCCCATTAAGAGGCCAAGGGGGGCTATCACTGACGCGCGCACACCAACACGCACCCAGCGCATCCAAGCGCTCCAAGATGATCCGAATCGCTTCGGGCTGGGGTGGACCGCCAGTCGGCCCCGAAACCAACGGCTCCGAGCCCGGAAGTCCCGAGGCATCTGTCGTACCCCACACGCCACCGACCAGCTCCCAGCCGTCGTCCAAGATGCCGCCGGCCGCAGCTGCAGCCGCAGCCGCAGCGGTGGCGGTGGCGGGCTCTGATGTGCAGGATCCCCCGGCCCCGGAGGCGCCTTTATAATGATGGAAGGATGTTGGGGGACGTCGAGGGGGTTGTGTGTGGGGGGAAAGAGATGGAAGGGATGCCCTGGCGGCGGAGAGGTGTCACGGACAGGACGGAACATCCAGGCCAGGCTTGTGCGGTTAAAGACACGAGAGAGCGCATGGTGAGAAGAATCGAGTATGTGAGAGATGTATGTGTGTGCAGGGTTAGGTGTGTGTGGTGGGGGAGAGCGTTGAGGGACCCAGCCAACCTCCTTCGGCAGCTGGTGTGCTTTGCGCGACGGCAATCGATCTCCCGTACACTCCCTCCCCCCCCTTCCTCTTCCTGTTGGCTTGCTCTCCCACTCCTAACCCCCCTCGGACGCCTGACCGCTACCGTGTAGATGGCGTCAGGGGTTCTGCTGGTGTGTGTTTTTCCCCCCAGTTAACCCCCCAGTCCATGTTCCGCCATACCCCTATCCTTTCCCCCCATCACAACAACACAATTCCCGACCGGTCGGGGGTATTTTGCCGTACCTCCCCGGGACGTCCTGACCGACGGAGGACCCGCCGCTCCCCCCGCGGGTGACGAGGACGGCGGCGGCGGCGGTGGTGATGACGGATTGGCGCCGCTGATGATCTGATGTGTTCGTGTGTGTACGGGTGTGTAGGGTTGTTGTTGCTGCTGCTGCTGGGCCGCCTCCGAGGCCGTGTCGGCGGCGGCGAACTTGCCAGAGACGCTGCGCTCCCGACGAGACAGACTGCTCAGAGAGGTAGCGCTGCGTGTAGTATGTATGTATGTATGTATGTATGTATGTATGTATGTATGTATGTATGTATGTATGTATGTATGTATGTATGTATGTATGTATGTGCGTGGGAGGACCACATGGAAGGCACATGGGGGGGGGAGAAAGGGGGGAGGGAGGGGGTTGGGAAGGTGAGGGCGGTAGACGGGGTGGTAACCATACATACACACAGAGAGGATGGAAAGACGGTCACCTAAACAAGCGACCACCTTGACGAGGATTGCAAAACGCTCCGGACGCCCTTCACGTCCGAGGTGTGTACTGCTACCGTACACATGCAGCCGAGTGCCCTGGGGATAGCTAGGGGGTACAGTATAATTGCAAAATTCAAATTTTAAAATTCAAAATTCAAAATGTACAATGCAAAATGCTGTAAGTTGCTATAAATATATTCGGCCAATCCCCCCAAATGGCACAGAGCGTTACGGTAGGGGTCCTGTGCGCACCTGGGACTTCCTGGCAGTGCACTTCCGGAGATGGGACGAGCAAAACCCAGCGCCGCAGCTACGGCCGCGAAACGACTGGCGGTGCTGCCTGAGCTGGGAATGGCGGCAGCACCGCCCGAGTCGCGGACGCTGCTCACTGACCCACGGGTCAGGCTTGGTGTGCCTCCGCCTCCACCTCCGCCGTCCAGCAGATTGCCACCACCGTCATTCGCGTCATCATCGTCCACGTCATCATCATCGTCCATTAACATGTTTTGTACGGCCCCAGGGTGCTCGCACTGAGGGGGGTGGTAGTGGGTGAGTGGGCACACGCATTAAACCGTGTTGGCGTTACAAGGCTCAACACATGTTGGCGTTACAAGTATGTCAAGGCCTAGCGGGCTGGTGGCGCGGTGAAATGCGATGGACCTCGATGGAGGTCGCAGTTGGCAGCACACATATACACCTGACCTTGCCGCTAACCCCGATATTACCGCTACCTCCCACAGGGGTTTGAGAAATGGGACGGTCCGGCAAACGCACTGCGTGCATCCCAACCCCGCCGTCCTCCTTCCCCCACCCCATCTCCCCCCACCAAATCAACCCGGGGAAACCATGCAAGACAGTTCCCCGTCCCGTACGACATAGCCATAACCCGTACGCCGTACATACTTGTAAAGGGGCCGCCAGGTGGGGGTTCTCAAGCAGGACGTACCAAAGCCGCGCGCGGATCTCCTGAAGATGTAACCATATCCGTACATTCGTACATAAGCATGTTGTGTTTGTTTCTGAAGTAACAACCAAGCATGCAATCCTGCGCCAGCTTCGCCATTCATTCAAAGCTAACGTTTTGTTTTAAAATCATCACAGCCGATTTGTTTCAGTGTGTGATTGCAGTCATGCATACATACAGACTAGTTTCTTCAGCGAAGTGAAGTTGCTCTCTTGTGTTCCATCCTCCGCACTACCCAGCCTTCCCGCTCGACTCAGTTTCTCAAAACACAAAGACGTGCACCCATCCCTAGCGAGCGCGCTTCGGCTCCCCCAAGACATACACACATACACACATACACACGGCACGCACGACAAACCACGAGATCCACACACAAACACACCGGCGGGCCTCCCACCCCATCACCTCCCCCCATCGCCCCCTCACCTGCGGTGCATTTTCAAAGACCTGCCTCCCGAACTGCACATCCACGGGGTCCCTCCTGCGCGCCTGCAGCTGCCAGGCACGCTGAGTGGCGTTGAAGCGCTCCTCCAGACTGTGAAGCAACATCAGAAACCCCTGGGGAACGGGTCCAGGGATTCCAGGAGGGTGTGTTTCCACGGCGGGTAGGGAAGGGGAGGGGAGGGAAGGGAAGGGGAGGGGAGGGAAGGGAAAGACGAACCACGAACGAAGGGCAGGGAAGGGCAGGGGAGGGGACGGGAGCGGGGAGGGGAGTGTGTGTGTATGTGTGTGTATGTGTGTGTGTGTGCCAGGCACATTAACACCTCAGCTCAGACGAGGGAAGGGGGGGGGGCCGGAGGACGCCCCGAGACACAAGGCAAAGGGCCCGTCAGTGCAGCTACCCTCCGGCTCTTACCTGCAGCTGCCGCCGCTTATCCAGTAGCCGCTCCTGAATCCTCCCAGCACGCTGCGCGATGCCTGCGGGGGCGGGGGCAGGCGGGGGGGGGCACAGGTGGTGGTGGTGGTGATGATGATGGCGGGCCGGGGGCGGGGGCAGGGGCGGGGGCGTGGGGAGACGACGTTGCATGAGCACTGGACAGGGTTTTGGGTGAAGCATTGAACACGGGCTTGGGGCAGAGGAGGAATCTGGTCAGATGGGCGGATGGGATTGCGGTGCGGCGGCCGTATAATTGTTGTTGGTGGGGGCCCGGGAGGGCGGGAGGGCGGTGCCCTGGCATCTGATTGCCCGGCCGCAGCAGGACGGGGACGGGATGGGGCCATCTATGGGACCCCGCCAGCGGATATTGAGGATGGTCGGCGACGGACTTGTGCTGTGTTGTATGTGCTGTGCTGTATGTGCTGTGCTGTATGTGCTGTGCTGTATGTGCTGTATGTGCTGTGCTGTATGTGCTGTTCTGCCAGGTCCCGTCCCATCGCAGCGGAGGGGTAGTTCTAGCTGGATGGCGCGGTAGGTTGCAGCACTTCCTTAGCCCTCCCTGGTTGGGTTGCAGCGCTTAGGCCCCCCCCTTAAGTGGCGGCAAACAGCCCCCGTTAGCTATATCCTCTGGCTATAGAACGGTTCCTCAGTTGGTGGATACGGCGGCAAAAGGCTCAAGGTGTGCTCAAGGTGGTTCACGAGAAACCCGTGCCCAGCCAAGCCTGCAGGCCTAGGTGGTAGATGGCTAATAGGTAATATAGCTGCTTGTGCTTGGCAGCTTCCCCACCACCACCCCATGCCCTTCATCCTGGGCCCCGATAGCTGGCCGATAGCTGGCCTCGTGTTACGAGTGTTGCTGGGCAGGGGAGTTACTCCGTTTCGCTGGGGCTGTCCGGGCCATGTATGGGCCTCGCTAGGTTCATCTTCGGGCTTATGCTGGGCCATAGCGTGCTTGGGTGCGGGCAATACTGGCAATCTGGTCAGGACCACTGTAACGTAACTCAACAAGTTGGCAGTTAGGTAGATGCCAGCAAGTGCACTTTTTTCTCCGGATTCGGGTGTAAGTAAAAGATCCTGGCCCCAATTACCGTTCTGTATTCCTTGCAGACGAGTCTGCGCTCCAGTCAGCACGGTCTGGATGCCCTTGCTGCGGGTTGCAAGGTCACAAAAGTCCTGGATGTACGTGAATTAAGCCACAGTAGTAAAATTTGGCCATAATTTCATTTTTCACCTCCTAAGCTCCTGGTCCCTCAATAGCTCCTGCGCAGACTGTGCCGTTCGGCTAATGACCTCGCTGACTCTGGTAACGGCTGCAAAAGCTTTGCTCAAGTGCTCCATAATTTCCGAGCACGATCGTCCAGGGCTATCTTATAAGGTTATAGCTTCAGGCTTCAGAAAGGTGCCACTAGGGTTGGAACTGCGCGACAACCCAGGATCGGGTTAACGTACTTTCTACGCTGGTTGCATAAGTTTACGAAAGTTTATGACGGCGGCATCACGAATGCCACTGTTCCGCGTATCTCGTCAAAAATACCCTTTGAACATGGCTACGCTATGTCCATAATGGTTGCGGGTGACAAGCCTGGTGTACTTCTATCTTGTAGCATGACTTCATACACAATAATATCAGGGCGTTGAACAGTCTGACGACGGGCGTGCAGTACAGCGCAGCGTATAGTAAATTCATCGTGGCCGTGCGCTACTTGCAAGCAATCTTGGTGCATCCCACGCCCACGCGGGTACATGACACAGGAAATATTTCAGTAGATTGAACTGGTTGGTGTTATATAGGATGCAAGTATTACAAGTGGGACAGGGAACCAACCCGCATCACTAGCCGTACATGCTAGCGGTTGGAACCAACCTACGCCAGGGCACAGACTCCCAGCAAAGTGCAGGGAGCCGTGCATTCGCAAGTACCAAAAATCCACAAATACCCAGGTCTTCCATAAAAAGAGAGGGAACAGCGTACACTCTGACCCTCGGACAGGGTGCAAGGGCGAGGGAAAAGGTACAGGGAGCCAACCCACATAGCTAGCCGAATGCGCACACAGACTCCCTACGGGAGCCGGGCAGGTGCAAGTACCGAAGGGCCGCCTATTCCAAGCCTGCAGCAAGAGAGCCGCCGGCGGCGAAGGCAGGGGGCAGATGTCAGATGCACCTCAACGATTGAGTTGATGGTAGATGAATCCTGTGGTGAAGTACCTGAGGCAAGAAGCTCTTGTAGGAGCGGTGAATGGGTCGACATTTGCCTGTCAGTTGCACCCGTCAAAGGAATTAGTGATGGAAATATCGGGAGGACACGACACAGCTGCGCTGCTGTACAGATGCATTTAAGCCGAGGGGCATTGAAGCAGCACAATGGGTGTAGTGGTTAGACACAGCAGACACAGCAGACACGGTAACAAAGACGAAGGTATTCAAGCACAAGGTTTTGGCAACGACTCGCTGGTTGGCGCTGACGGCCTTCAAACACATTAATTTGTTGCGATGGCGGCTGTAGACACCGTTATCTTGGTTATGTCAGATGTTGTATCATCGTTATAGTTGACATCGCGAAAAAGTGGGTTGCCTCGCCGGTCAAGCAGGTCACGCAGGCCTGCGAACCGTTCTGCCGCCCGCGGCTATCCGTTTTGTGATGCTTGGTGAGATTTGGTGCGAAGCCTCCCCATCTGCTCAGATTGAGAGGGGCACAGGCCCTTGAGATTGGTGCCCGCTTGCGTCACTGTGGTTTGCCTGCCTATCTGTCTGCCTGCGTCTCCTGACAGGTGCTGGTTTTCTCCTTGCCCGTCAGCCATGTCACCAACGCTAGTCGATATGCTACCGATATTAAGCGAATAAACAATTTGGCAATTCTTTATCTCCTTGTTCTGTAAAATCAAAGTACCAGGGTTCAACAGCTCTTGTTACTCGCCTCCCCTTCTGTAGAAGTTCTGTCGAGGCTTTTCGTTGATGCCGTTTACAGGCAGTTTGCATTATGCAAAAGGGAAATTTACGACCTGTTCGTTCGCTTATTATTGCGAACTGGGAAACTGCTATGTGAGCGGCGAAGACTGGAGCTTCCACGATGCCAACTGCCGGCTGCTGTCCAGAGCCGGTGAACGGCCATGCGACACTGACATCACATGTGACATATTCGTTAGCATATCGTGAGATCCAGGTCACTTTCAAGCTTGTGCAATCGCGCACAAGCCCTGCCGAACGCATTGATAATTTTGCCAGGATTCTGAATCCAACTTTCACGACGCAGGGCGAGTCGCCCTGGGCGACGGGCGTCGCCCCGCTAGAATGGGTTATCCTGAAGCTCGTGCAGTTGTCCAAATGATTGCTTCTTAGCTTACCCCTCAAACGCGTCTTAATGCTGTTTGCACCAATACATTTCCGTAAGGTGTTGCTTTCTAATTACGACTTCCTATTTCTAAAGCAATACCTGCTAACTCGTCCAGCTCGAATTGTGAAATCCCACTGGTCCGTTGGCCGCCACCAGGATTTTGGGTCGTTATTACCAGCTCTCGAACACGGCACGCATAATCCAGTCCTTAATTGTATTTTAACAAACTTCTATTACGGTATATCTTCCACTGCCTGCGGCGTTCCCTTTGTGTCAGCCGTCTTCAGGAGAGCATCCGTCACGCAGCCGGCCGGCGCCATGCGCTCCTGCGCACCCTGCGGGCCCACCTGCCGCTCATCAACAATACGCGCAGCATGGCGTCTTGGATCCAAAACCGTCGTCCCTCCACATATCCTTTCACTTGCTCCGACGCTTCTCCTTCCTCAGTTTCGGCATCATTTTGCAACTGAGAAGCCAGCTCTTGTGGCGGCTTCTGCCGCAGAACCAGCAGCCAGCACAGAATCAAATTTAGGGGACGTTGGCGAACCCCGAGGACCCCGTGGCGCTCGCGGCCGACGACCCGTTAACACTATCGGCACGAGCTCCGCCTCCGTCGCACCCCCAAGCGCTGCAGACCTCGCAGCAGCAAACTTGCTGAGCGACGAGGCGCTGCGCGCAATGGGCATCAAGCTACCCAGTCATTGCTGCGGCTGCGGCATGAAGCTGCAGCGGCAGGACGAGCGAGCTCCAGGGTAGGAAGCGGCGTGGTGGTAGTACGGCTGTGGGGTGGGGGACCTTTTCCAAGCACGGAGGCGCAGTGCGAGCCAGTGTGGGGATGTCCGCTGGTCGTTGATGTTGCTGTCGGGTTTCCGTCCCATGGGTCAGTGGCGATGGGCAGGGGCGCGCTGTAGCTGAAGGCAGGAAACCTAATGGGGGAAGCTGACCGGGGCCCTCCGTGGTTTGGTTATTAGGTCCCCAGGCCTGCGCTGTGCTGTGCCGTACCCTGCCGTACCCTGCTGTGTTGTGGATGTACTTTATTGCCCCGTACAAGCCTTCAAATGGTTCAACTGCACGTTGCATACTAGCTTCCTTTATGCTCCTTATGTTCTGCTCTCTTCTTCGCAGGTTCTTTACTATCCCAGCCAGGCTTTTGGAGCCGCCCCGGGGGGCGGCGGGTCCCGCAGCGGCGGGTGAAGATGCGGGGGAGGTCCCTGTGGTGAGAAGGGAGTTGGGGAATTGGGGAGGAGGGGAGGACCGGCACGATGAGGTGGGCTGATAGGTATATGCAAGGTGACGTACGACAGTACGACTCAGGAAAGTCGTGGTAGTACTTTGAAACCATGAAAATGTTGAAATTTAGTTTGTTGTTGTTCGTTGTTCTTGAATGAGTGAGTGGATGAGTGCTAGTGTGACTGCTACTGCGACTGCTACTGCTACTAGTATTGCCGATTGCTAATGCTAATGCAACTGCTACTGCCACTGCAGGTGGAGTTCGACGACGTGGGGGCGCTGGGTGCGGATGAGCCCGATGTGCTGTGTCAGCGTTGCTACTGGCTCACGCACGCCGGGTGGGCTGGTGTTGGGATGTGACATGACGTGACTTGACGTGATGGCCCGGACTAGACTCCCTTGGGACGCTTGGCATTTGGGGCCCTGGGGGTTCCCTGCCCTTCTTGTCGTTTTCCTCAATAGCACTCCACAAGAGCACATCGGCAATGCTGCGCCTGCTGTGGGCTTCACCGTCAGCTCTTGCCTCTTGACCTTCTGTTCACTCCCCCTTGTCCCCGTTGCGCTCGCTGTAGAAAACCCAGGGAGTTGACCAACCTACCTAACCTGTTTAACATCTGTCCAACCTGTCTTATCCTGCCTTACCCGTCTAGCCTGGTGTTATTGACATGGTGGGGACTTAGTTTTAGTGGGCTGAGCCCCGAGGAGGATGTCCATGAGTCCACCAGTTAGGAGGGGACTGTACGGAGCATGTACCACTGCAGAGCGGCTTCGGACTTCGAAGAGAAGCTAGTCCCCAGCGATCAAGTAACCAGCAAAAATGCGTGGGGTTGCGTGAATGTGCGCGTGGGTGTGTCCTGACTTGGAGACCTCATGCCGGCCCGCCAGGGCGCTCCGTCTAGGGGGCTCTCTCCCCGCCTCTTCTCACCCGCTCTCGCACGCTCGCACGTCTTGTCTTGTAAGTTATCAGCGCGTCTGGCTATGTGTGTGTGTGTGTTGCGGTGTGCAGGAAGCTCAAGTCGTACGAGGGGGAGGCGGCGCTGCCGACATTCGATCTGAGCAAGAAGGTGAGCTCTCCCCCGGGACGTGGGGGTGGCGGAGGTCAGGTGTTGTGTGTTTTGTGTGATAGCGAGGGGAGAACATTACGGACTGACATCGCAACACACAAAAGGTAAATAGCGGACGTAAGGAGTCTGTCTGGAGTCTGTCTGTCTGTCTGCTTGTATGTCAGTCTGTTTTTACCCACCTGCTCTCAAGTCTTTCGGTCTGTCTACCTGTCTGTTTACATCCCACTCCCCCAACCTGTCTGTCCGTCTGTCGGCCTGTCTGTCGGCCTGTCGATATTCCAGGTGGGCCGCAAGATCCACCTACAAAAGGACCGGAAGGCGGTGGTGTTGTGTGTGGTGGACCTCTGGGATTTCGACGGCTCGTTACCCCGCCAAGCTATCAGGTAAGGCGGACGCGGAACGCGGCGGGCGGCTGGGGAGGCGGAGCCGCGGGGGAGGGGAGTACTGGGTGGAGCAGCCGGGGAAGGTGAAAACCGCTCGCGGGTGCCCCTCAGCTCGCACCAGTAGGTGTGTGTGTGTCGCCAGTGGCTCGTCCAGGTCGCAGGTCGCGGGTCGCTGGTTTCCTTTCCTTCATCTCTCGCGCCCTTTTGTCTTCAGCCGTTGTCAGCGGCGCCGCTACCGGGCCGCCTCCTCATCACCGCTGCGCCGTATGGGCACATGGGCACTCAAACAAGACCCCGCCGCAGCCAATGCGCACATCAATCCTTTACCGCGCCTCCACGACAACACACACCCCTCATCACCGCCCCTCATCCTCCCTCCCCTGGCAGCAGCTTCACTCGTTTGTGTTTCGTCTTTCCCTCCCCCCCCGCCTCCGTCAGCACGTGCCCTTCTCCCGCCCGTCCTCTTTCCTGTCGCGCGGAATCCTCCATTCCCCACTGGCGCTGCTGTGTATTTCTGCCGTACAGTGCGTTGCTTCCCCCGGGCAGCGGTGATGAGGCCCCCCAGGAGCTGAAATTCAAACTGATGGTGGCGGCGAACAAATTCGATTTGCTGCCGTCCGTCGCCACGGTGCCCCGTGTCCAGGTGTGTGTGTGTGTTTGGGGCGGGGGATTGGGGGGGGGAGAGGTGGTGCGGGGAACGGAGTGGAAGAGAAAAGAAGTTCGGACCTATGTATCTATGTATGTATGTATGTATGTATGTATGTATGTATGTATGTATGTATGTATGTATGTATGTATGTATGTATACACCTGTGCATGTATGCATGTATGTGTTTGTTTGTCTTTCATTATCGCTCCCTGTTAGTCCAATCCGCGCCCCTCCGCCCCTAAACCTAAATCTAAACCTAACCCGGCAATTACGTCATCCTTCCTCCTCTCACCTCGTTCAGCTGCTCTCGAGCTAACCTTGCAGAGCGTTACTCGCACCCCTAACTCTGCTCTCGTCACCACGACACGGCGTCGATGTCCCCTCCCAAACCCCCTCCCTCACCCGCACCTGTTTGACCAGCCACCTCTCCTCCCTCCTCACCCCCGGCCCCCGAAACCCCTCAAACCAAACCCGGCCCCCCCCTCAGCAATGGGTTCGTACACGGCTCAAGCAGGCAGGTCTCCCCCACGCTGACAAGGTGTTCATGGTCAGCGCCGCCAAGGGGCTCGGCGTCAAGGACATGGTACAGGCAGGTGGTGGTGGTGGGGTGCTTCCCGTACACATTCTACAGACAGATAGACATACATACAGTGCGCACAGATATGGACGTATGTGCCTACAAAACATGTGCGTACAGTACGGATGTACTGGATGTACATGTATGACCTACAAGGCCGTACAGGGCCGTAGGTGCAAAGGTGTGAATTAGTAATTACCAAACGGATGTACTGTACAGACATATATACCTACACAGCCGATAATGTGCTACTAACAGTATGTCTGTACTGGTTCAGTTTTCACTACAGGGTTTAGTCGTTAACAACACTGCTACTGCCACTGCTACTGCTGCTGCTATTGCTACTGTTGCTGCTGCTACTGCCGCCCTCAGGATATCCGTCAGGCTCTGGGGTTCCGAGGTGACCTCTGGGTGGTGGGGGCGCAGAACGCGGGGAAGAGCTCCCTCATCCGGGCCATGAAGCGGTTGGCGGGGACAGACGGCAAGGGTACGACTCTTTAACGATGGAATAACCATTTCACCTCGGGGGTGCACATTACATAATGGGGGTGCACATTACATAATGGGGGTGCACATTACATAATGGGGGTGCACATTACATAATGGGGGTGCACATTACATAATGGGGGTGTACATTACATAATGGGGGTGTACATTACATAATGGGGGTGCACATTACATAATGGGGGTATACATTACATAATGGGGGTGTACATTACATAATGGGGGTGCACATTACATGTATGGGCTTTTTTTGTGGTTCTTACACCCGGAACGTCTTAGCCGTGGTTACGCAGTATTCGTACAGAAGCTGGGTCTTAGCTGGGTTTTTGTTTTGTAATGTAATGTAATGTTACAGAGTGGGAGGCTTCTGGGCCGCTTTATCACATTGTCAGTTCTACGATCACTTATCACCTTATAGCACCATCCACCACTACCACACTGTACTTCGCCATACGAACTGTAAGTCCAAGGCGGCGGATCCAGCCTTCAGGGACCCCTCCTCATCCATTCGCCCGAACACCCGAAGAGACGGAGGGTTCGGCAATCGCCACCAATCCAGCGTGCGAATCTGGTCCATCAACTGTGACCTCAACTCCACATCTCAGCAGCTAGCCATAATCTCGCGCTCCCGACTAATTCGGGGGTCTCCCCAGGAATCGAACCCAGGACCTTAAACCGCTAATTGCAGTAGTGTCAACCCAACCCAGGTTTTTGTTTTAACAGCCCCCCAGCCGTCCAGTATCGCACCGGGTCCCAACAGAGGGCTGTGTTCCCAACACGGTCGGGCAGCAGCGGCAGCAGCAGCAGCAGCAGCGACGAAGCATGAAGCATGCAAAAGACGGATGCAGGCGGTGGGGGGGTGGGTGGGAGCGAGGGGGAGTTTGCGGTCGAGGGCGGCCTTTCCCCCATCCCCATTTACACCATACCCAATGCGCCCTGTACTATCCTTGCCGTACCATGTCGTACCGTGCCGTTCTGCACTTTGACACCCCGGTGTTTTCGGGATTGGGCAGCTGTACTGCTGCGAGTTTCCCTTCCTATTCTAACGGAAAAAGCCGCTTCCCTGGCTCCCCCTTCCCTCCCCCCCGCCAATACACACACGCACACACATCACAGGTGACCCAACCGTTGCACCTGTTCCGGGAACAACCTTGGGGCTCCTTCAGGTTGGTTGGTGTGGTGGCGGTTAGAACGGTTGGGTAAGAGCTTTTCTTCTTTGGCAGGTCCTGGCAAATGCCGTACTTTATAGTGTACTACAACCTGACTGGAAACCACAAATCAAGATATCGTGACCGGAGGTTTCTCCTAGCTCCTGGGCTGTTTACCTCGAACCAACCCCCTTGTCGCGCTGATCGGGATGCCTTGGTAGCCCTCGTAATGCACCAAATCGAGCAGTGATGAGGAGATGTCTATATATATATTTATAACAAATTGCGGTTGTTAGGATTTATTATTTATATATAATGAATCCTAACAACCGCAATTTGTTTTTTTATGTAAGATCTCCACGTCATCTCAACCGGCATGTGTACGACCAAACGAGCGAGGTCTGACCTGCCCTCGCTCCGCTGCTCCCACACGCGGATGCAACCTTCTTTCCCCCCCCCCGCAGGTCCCCGGAATACCCCTGGGCCCCAAACACCGCACGTTTGACACGCCGGGTGTGCCGCACACCCATCAGCTCACCAGCCACCTCAACCCCGAGGTCGTCAAAAAGGTATGTACGGCACACTGAATACGTACGCACGTACGAGCGAGACATGATAACGACATGCTATGTACGACGCCCCCCAATGGAGAAAGCCCATTGACGGGGCGCCGATGCCGGTCAGATGAGACCAGATGAGGCAGGAATAACTAGATTTGATAGTGTTCCTAATTTCCTTATCTCATAACTTCCTAATTCTATATTTTTTCATAATATATAATTTCCTAATTTCCAAATCAATAATATGATTTTGCGCAGGTTCTTCCCACAAAGGAGCTCCGAGGTCGCACCTACCGCATAGAGCCCGGGCACTCGGTCTTGCTGGGCGCAGGTCTGGCGCGAGTGGATGTGGTTTCGGCGCCGGGGCAAACCCTGTACCTGACTGTGTTCGTATCTGCGCACGTCAACTTGCATATGGGCAAGACTGAAGGTAGGTGTGTATGTGTGTGAGAAAAAGAATGAGAGAGAAAGGTAGAGAAAAAAAGAAAAAAAGGGGAGCAGGGGGCGCGCGCGGGGCTGCTCGGGGTGTATGAAAGGGAAAGCGTACTTAATGCAGTGCTCAAACCCGCATCAACCCACATCAGCTGCGCCCTCCTGTCCTCTCCAATTCCTTTCTTCTTCCTGTCTCAGCACTCCTTGGGCAGATTTTCCCTCCACAACCTTCACAACCACCTTTCCCTTTCTTCCTTTCCTCGACAATGTACTCGAAGGTGCGGACGACAAGGTGAAATCACTGACGCAAAACGGTTTGTTATCGCCTCCGGAGTCGCCGGAAGAGGTTGCAGCGTTGCCCAAATGGCAGCCGGTGGAGGTCGAGGTGGAAGGCACGGACTGGTCTAGAAGCACGGTGGACGTGGCGGTAGCGGGCCTTGGCTGGGTGGGTGTGGGTTGCCGCGGCAAGGCTCATCTGCGTTTCTGGACGCTGCCCGGGGTAGCGGTCACCACACATGCGGCTCTCATACCGGACTACGCCAAGGAGTTTGAGAAGAAGGGCGTGTCAACGCTGTTGCCGAGGACGCCGAAGAAGCAGCAGGCGAGGAAGGTCTGACAGCGGTTGAGCTGAGGTGTTGCTAGCGGGTCGAGTAGGCGGCGATGGGGCAACGAGGAGCGAGTGGACATTTTTCTCATCATGTGCATGTGAGCTTTGTGCGTGGCTGGAAAGCCTAGCGGTGCGAGGCGGTACGAGAAACGGAGTGCCTGTCTGTCCAGTTTGTCTGGACAGCAGCCTTGTAACTGTGGTGTGATGCTTTTGACTGTTCTACAGCGGTGCAGCAACGGACAGGACGCAGCAGCAATATTAGCGGACAGGAAGAAAGGGAGTTGGGCGGAGAGCGTGGAAGGATGGTAAGGGAGAATAATGCATACTGCTGCTCCTGCTGCAGCGGGGCAGAGCTGGATGGCTGGATGCCTCACCTAAGGAAAGCACAGCAAGGATTTGGATTACAGACAAAGGCTATCTTCCCGCAAATCACCTCTCTTATGCACCGGTTCCAAACACGGGCAGCATCCTAGCAGCTTGCGTGGTTAGACTTTTGAGTAGCAGGGCCCCCCTTGACAAGTGGTCACTCACGCAGCATGCGGAGCCGTTTGCCAGCAGTGCACTTCCCCAGCCGGTCCTTAGTGCATTTGCGGCATATGCCCTACATAACGCAGCATGACTTCTCTCTCTGTCAGATGAACTGCCACCAACGGATTTTACTTGGCATACTCGTATACCCCAACATTCTCGAACTCTCATGACTGATGTAGTTCAGTACATAGCATTCTCAGAAAATAAGCCACATGCGCGGGCCCCTCACACACTCCTGATATCACGAGCTTCTCTTCAACATCTCCTCCTTGGAAAATTCCAGCTACGTCTACTGTTAATTGTCGGAAAAGTCCACCACGCCGCTGATGGCGCTATTCGGAGCTCGGTGCAGTAAAAAAAGTTATTTGTGTACCACCATCGGCAGATCCCTCCTCGGCAATGCTCCGAAGTTCATTGAAACACACACGCACAATGGTCTCATGGGACCATGCATTTAAAAGCCGGAGACGCTCTTCCAATGGGTATGGCGGCCGGGCAGGTTAAATGTGGAAGCACCACGATGGAAAAAGAATATACGGAGCCAAGAAAGGAACACGTATATTCTACAGGACGGCTGCGAAACGGCCGCGAAAATGCTAGCATAGTGATTATAGTCAAAAACCCTCGGGCCTGCATATGTCACTTAGGGACTCAATACATTAGTCCGAACAACGTATAGATGCAGGGTAAAAGGTCACCAACAAAATAGAGAATCAAAACCCCAGCCTGCAGAGGACAGGACAACACCGCAACAAGATACAAGCCATGATGGCCCCTCTCTCGTCATGCACCGTTGAACAAGTACCCAACAATACCGACGCGCAATGTCTCTCCTCTCGCGGTGCCCTCAACGCCCTCAACGTGAAGGCGGCCGGCTCATCGCCACGCCACTCCTTCTTCCCCGTTAGTTCCCCTTTTGGGGAATGCCACTGCGCAGGAAATCAGGCGCATACTTCTTCAGTTCATTCAACTCCACAATACACCGGAGCACCGCTTTATGCATTTTCGGGAGGGAATTTAAAACTCCTATCGATAAAAAAATACAGAAACGCATTACTGTACATGCCTAAACCTGCCCACGTCTGCATAACCGTAGAAATGAGCGCCACCGTGACCTCGTCCCTGGTCCGAGAATCGTTGCATGTGGCTCACACGCATCTCGAGGTGCACAGCAGATGGTAGTGACGTTATGCATACGAGGCACATTAAACGTGTGGATGCATCATTCGCAATCATAACACAAAACCGCGAGTTTCGTTGTTCTGGACAAACGCATTTGCTGCAACGGATGATGCGTGTACATTATCATCATTATTGCTTCATTATCATTCCCTTGTTCCGATTTGCTGCTTCTCCAGTAGCAGCAATAAGCATCCTACACAAATACGGGACCCTCTTGGCGGCGCTGGAATGGGTACAGCAAGCCTACCACTACCACCTGATACAGCAACGCAACATCAGCCCCTTAGCCCCACAGGCACAAGTGCGAATATAATTAAATATAGATGTCGTACAGTTGTACATGACAGGCGGCAGCAAGGCGCCACGCATCGCATCGGTCAGATGCTAAAACAAGGCACTGAAACCAAGCCAACAAATTAATTGCTCGCTTGAGATGTCCTTGGTCTGCACGCACGTAAACCCCCTCCAAGATCCTTAACAGCCCGAAAGCTTTTATCTACACAGTACAAGAAATCGCCCCAACCTCATTCCAAAACATTGTACATTTTTGAATCTTCAATAGCTTCAGCAGTCATCGCAACTTCAGTTCTATCTTAATCTTTGCAACACTGCAGGTCGAAGGACCGCACCCCGCCCTGAGTGGGTAGTGGTGGTGATTGTTGTCGCGGCTGGCCTCGTACCAGAGCCTGCACCGCGTCCCAACGGCTGCCCAAACGGACAACCAGCCGTGGCTGAAGACTCGTCCTGGCTGAAGACCCCACCAGCATCGGCAGCCAAGCGCGCTGCGTTCTGCTGCCTCGCTACTGAGACATCAGTGCTGACGGCAGGAGCTTGATGCACACGACAACATTCAGCAACTTCTGCACCGCCGGTTGTGACCCGCAACGAATTTCCAGCACCAGCACCAGCCGCCGCCGCCGCAGCAACAGCTGCTGCTGCTGTAGTCGAGTTGGCTCCTACGCCCGTGCCGGCTCCCAGTTTCCGTCGGTAGCGGCGCATGACTGACGCCACGATCTCCTTGGCCTGCGAGCCACACCCGGATACAGCGGCAACAGCGTCAGCAGCGCCGGCGGCAAAAAAATCCTGTAGTGATGAGTACGTATATGTGCTCGGAGCCGGATCACCTTGGACCCTGACATCCTTTATCTTCGCCCAGCATGGCAAATGCGAACGCAACCGCCGGCAAGGACGTACCTTTGGGAATGCCACCTGGCCTGCAGCCGTCTCCGCGGGGCCTCTGCGGCCCAGCACATACGCCTCCATTCCCTCCAGCTGCTGCAGCAGCTCCGTCCGCAGCAAGTCCAGGTGCTTGGGGCATAGGCGCAGGGCAGTTGGAGGCAAAGGATGAGCCAACTGCAGCTGCTGCCGCCGCTGCTGCTGCTCTTGAAGAAGCAGCTGTTGAGGCTGCTCGTGCAGACGGACGGACGCGTGTTGAAGAAGTGGATGGCCGCCAACCCGCGTGCTGCTCCGCTGCCCCACGCCCATCCTGCCGCCAAGGTTCTGTTGGCTCTGGTGCTGATGCTGGTGCTTTACTTGCAGTGGCTGAGTGGTAGAAGCACCAGTACCAGTACCAGAAGGAAACATCTGATGGTATTGGTGCTGCGGTAGTTGCGAGGGAGCGATAGTGGACCGGGCCGATGCCGGCGCTGAAGCCGGCAACGTGTAGCCGCGGCCGCCGTCACCACCACCACCAGCAGCAGCACCGACATCACCGGTGAAGAGTTCCTCCAGTGCGACCGTCACCGCCTCCGCCACCGATGCCGTCGCTGCCATCGCCGTAACCTCCAGGCGTGCATCTCGCAGCACGCCCTGCAGCCGGTTCAGTACAGAGGCGTAGTGGCCCCAATGAGCTGGCCTCGAGTCCGCCATACACCACTGCGCTAGCGTAAACACCGACCAGATACCGAAGCTGATGAGCACCGCCGGTCCAAATACGCACCACGAGCTAAACGTGGGCGGAGGCGCAACCAGCCCTAGCGGGACAAGCTGCGACACCGGAGGCGGCGACGGCTGCTGCTGCCACGGCAGCGGCAGGGGCGCTTTCGGATGAGTTCGCGCCGCCGGCGGTGCCTGCGGAACCGGTGGCTCCGGCTCAGAAGGCATTGCTCCAGGGGGGCCACGAGGAGAAAGGCAGGAAGAGGATAGGAGGCGCGGCGCGGCTGGGGGCCCAGCAGCGCCGAAACCACTCCGGGCCCATCCTGCGACGCTGGTGGTGATGGTTTCGGAGATGCTGGTGGATCTGGCGCTCCTCCCTTCGCCGTCGGCGTCGAGGTGGTGCCGGCTATTCATCCGGGTAGATGCCTCCGCCTGGCTCCAAGAGGCCAAGGTGCTGGAGGAGCAGGTCGAGGTCGTGAAGGAGGAGGAAGGTGGGATCGCAGCCGTGGTGGCCGTGTTGGCCAGGTCAAGCAAGGACCCATGGGGCGAAAGCGATGCGACTGGGTGCGTGGTGGCGGAATGTTGGGTGATGGACTTGGCGTTAGAATGAGGTGGCAGGAGTAGCTGCTGCTGTGGTGCTAACGACGACGCCAGGAACGCAGCTGTCCTGCCACCATCGGCCCTTACTTCTCCTCCTCCTCCTTCACCTCCAGCCCCAGCTCCCCCAGCCCCAGCTGCAGAGTGGTAGCTCCTGTTGGCGCTGCACCTGTCTGTGATGTCTACGCTGTTGCAGCTTGTGCTAATGCTGGTAGATTCCATCCGGCCCTGCCCGGCCCACCACGACCAAGGCTGTGCCAGAGGTTGCTGCATCAACGGCTGCTGTTGAAGTCCTCTGGCATTCTGCGTCTGCTGGTGATGCGGGTGCGGGTACGGGTGCTGCTGTTGAAAGAACCCTAAGTTGGACCTGGCGTTCGTGTTGTGATCATGACACCCAGCCGGCGACGGTGCAGCCGGGGCCGGCAGAAGGGGCTCCGTCACCACCGGACCTGCCGGTGGGTTCGGCAGTGGGCGGACTGCGGTCTGCGACCGCAGCAACGGCGTGGATGCGAGCAGCTTGGACTGGTCCACGTGGCTGCTGTACGTCCCGGCACATAAGGCCTGTAGGGCGATAAAGTCAGCGTTGCGGGCAGCTAGAAGAATGGCGCGGTGGTAATGGAACGTCTGGTTGTCCTGCAGCAGGGAGCAGCCAGGGAAAAGAGGAAGCGGCAGAGGACGCGGCGGCGGCAACAGTGAGAGGCGGACAGCGGCAGCAAAGAGGAAATCACACAGAATCGGAACAGAAGAAACGAACAAAGCCAGGTTAGGGCACGCGGCAGGTTCTCCATCCATCGGTTTTTCTGAAGACCCGTAAGGATTACGAAGGATTTAAAACCATAAAGCCAGCCGAAGGAAGGCGTGATGAAAAGCGAGCTCGGAGGTGTTGGTGGATGAAATAAGAGCGTGTGCAGGGATCAGCGATGCGCACATTAAGGTAAAGGTAAAGGTCCCGAGATGTTGGCGAGCCTGAAAAATATATAGCGTGCCTCAGGCTTTTTATTAGCACTTGTTGTCTGTCAGTCTCCCGACCGGACGGATCCGTGGGGGAGCGAGAAAGACCTCTCAGTTAACCTGACTGATTCACATCACCGGCACGGCTACAGCGCAGCTACCGCCAGGCCCAATACACCGATACTCGGATAATCGCGCTCCATGTTTTCAAACGCATTTGTGGCATGTTCTCGCTGCTCTCGACATGGAGCACACGCGCACACGCATGCGCACATACAACACACAGAATAGCTTATCAAGCTGCCTCAGGCATGCAATAAGAGTCCGTCAAGTCTCCCCATCAAATCATGGTGGGGAGAATATCGGATAACCTGACTGTTGAAGGTCATCATTGGCAGCAAACAGCATCAGAACCGCGATACGGGGCCAGCTGCGGAGGGAAGGAGAGACCCTTGGATCCCTTCTTAGTACTAGGACTCACGATGTACTAATTGTTGTCCTGTCTGAATTGTTAGGGATTGGATTGTGGACGGTGGCACGGGGCCAGTCACCCGCAAAAGGCCGCTGAGGACGAGGGCCGCTGTCAAAACGTTCCTATTCCGGGAACGTTCCTATCCCAGAGCACCTCGAGACGCCCGTCATGCCACTTGGTTCTCTACACTTGGTTCTACATATACTCTGTGAACTTTGTCCCCGGTTCCCTCGAGGATCTGACCCATAAGCATGGACACGACTACACGTGTCCGTGACACGCCCCTACAGCACTTCTTGCGGCAGCACTTCGTTGTTCTTCCTTAAGGTTGAATGGCAAACAAAAACATTTGACACTTATACACGCACACACACGCACACATGTACGTGTGCACGCGTGAGATAGACTCGATTCCTGTACCAGACACAGGCATTAAGAGAGCAGTAGTTGCGCCTCAGTCCTTTCTTTACGTCTCCTCACACCACAGGTGCCGCACAAAAAGCGTTTGCGCGGCCCTGGGCCAGATTCAGATAACCTGACTGATAAGGACTGCATCATAGGCGCATGTGATAAAAAGCCCTACACGCCTTCTATACAAACTAAGTCTGCGTGCGTGCACGCACATATGTATGTACGTATGTATGTGCGCATGTATGTATGTTATTTACGTAAGTAAATTCCTTGTGTCATTTACACCTACGGCGTCTTAATAATCTCAACAATCTGCGCAGCGGGCAGGAACTGTCGAGTGGCAGGCGTCAATATGGGCCTAAACCTAACGAAAAACCACATGCCTAACAAACCGTGCCGTCCACACACCCTTTCCCCCCCACACAAAACTTTGGACATCGCCACTCGGCAGCTCTACGTATTGGATGATTCTTGCACACACATTCACTCCTCCAACCACCCCGGCGACCAGCTCCTAAAAATATCTCCCGGCAACACGCCACACAGCACCGTTGGTGACACGGCCAACCCATCGTAACATTCGTGACATTTAATCAATCATTCGTTCCCGACAACCTCCCACACCGCGACTCACCGAAGGCATCACCAGCTGCAGGGGCCAGCAGCCCCACAGGGTCTCCAACACCTCCTTCAGCTCCTCCAGAGCCCTCAGGCACTGCCTCACCGACTCAAACAGAGCCTGGCTGCAGCCCATGCAGAGGTGACTGCCATCTGAGCTCGGTTTAGGAGACATGCAGAAAACGATGAGGGCGTTTTCCAGTTCTTTTTTATGTAGTTTTCCAAAGATAAGATTTAAATTTGGACAGATTCTCTAACAGGTTCTGCCGCAAGGCGTAACGCGTGGGTCCTAAAGGCGCGGTTCCATTCGCTGGGACGTGAGGAGCGAGAATGACAAGGTATATATCTTAGCCTCTAAGATATATACGCGAAGGCGAAAAAATGGGGTTTGTCAGGCAAGCAAAAGGACGGAAGGCAATTCAACCGAGCGAAAGAACTGTTGTTCGGGAGAGAGAGGTGAGAGTAGGTCTTCGGGGCTCCCTTCTTCGCGTACATTCTGACCAGAAATGCCGCCCTGTGGTATGTGCGGGGGCCCCAGCAAATCGCCAACGCTTATCCTCGCATGCTTGCAACGCCCTGCCGCAATGTGCACATAGCAGTCCCACATAGCCGCCGCACCCTACCTGTATGACTGCAAAGCAGCGGCGAACACAGGGGGACATCCGACACGCTCATGGCTGTCGCGGCAGGCGTAGTCGCAGCTGCTGCCGCGGCGGCGGCGCTGCCGTTGGCCTCATAGGCCCCAATGCTACTGCCGGGGTCGCTGCTGGCTGGGTAACAAGTCCCGACATGGTCCCGGTCGCCACCGCTGCCTCCATCTGCACCTGTGCCGGACCTGTCTGACCTCTGCACGCATTCGTGCCGCCGCACCTCCTGCTGCACATGCGCCTGCGGAGGCCGCAGCAGGGCGGCCGCCTCTCTAGCCCTACACACCGGCCGGCCGTGAGCGTCATAAAACGACGCCCAGAAGTCCTCGAGGATCCTCGCAAACTTGGGACGGGTCCCCCGCGCAACGGGGTGCTTCGGCCGCTGCAAAATACCGCCTGTGCCTCCTCCTCCGCTGCCGCCGCTGCTGCCTCTGTCAACGTTGACAGCGGCCGCGCGTGCTTCAACTTTTGGAGCCGTATTCAAATGGTGTGGTGGCGGCGCCGTCATGCCACTAGAAACCGGCTCCGCGACCTTTCCTTCACCAACAAACCGCAAGGCCGTCCGGTCAGCTGCAGCCGGGAGTTCAGCGTCGGTGTAAACGTAGGCCGTGGCGCCCCCGGAGCAACTGACGCCAGTGGCGGCAGCGGCGGTGGCAGCGGCGGTCGTCACAGCTGAGTTGGCGGGTGTTTGGCCAGGTAACCGCAGTCGCTGCCGCTCCCGTCGTCCTCCTGTTTCCGAATCATCTGAACCGACGTTGGCAGTAGTATCGGCAGCAGCAGCAGTAGCCGCGGTTGCGCTGCTCGTGATCGTAATGCTGGTGCATCCACCACTGACGCTGCTGCTGCTGCACCGATTCGCTTGCACCATCGTGCCTACTGCCGGCGACATCTCGCCGGTAACGGGCCCCTGCCGCTCCTGGACTTCTGTCACTGGAACGACACCTCCAGGATCCACGACTCGAACCTTACGCATTACGATGTCCATTGAAACGTCGTCCCTCGATTCTTGAAGCCCTTCGATGGCAGAGCCCAACAAATGCTGTACCGGCGCGATGTCCAGGCGGGAGCGGATGGAGGTACCCGCCGCCTCGTTGGCCTCGTCCTCCTCGGCATCGCTGACATCGTTGGCGCTGCTATCTCCATTGCTGTCGCCTTCGCTGTAAAAGCAGCCACTGAGGCGACGGTGGTACCTCTCCCGTGGCCTCCATGGCAGGTGCAGAAGCGCCAAATCGGCTGACGCCGTACTGGAGTCGTACGGGCGGAGACCTGAGCCGATCACCGTTACAATGGCGGATCTGGGTGGGACCCAGCTGGTGCCGTAGACAGCGGTGGAGGCCGTGGCAGAAGCTGCGGCCGCAACGGCAAAAGACGATGAAGTGCCTGAAGATGCCGACATGTCCGGTGCTCCACTCAAACCCCCCAATGAATCAACACATTGCGGCTGCACCGGCGGCTGTAGCCATGGCGGTCCTTGTTGCCCAGCTGCCTGTTGTACAGGTTCGACAGAAATGTACGACTTCCCGCGTCCGTAGACCTGCACCGCAAGCTGCTGCGCCGACCGCCGACTCCCGCCGCCACGGCTTCCCCAAAAAACATACCAGCGGCTTCCCGCTCTCCCGTCGAACGATCGCGGCAATCCTGCACCGCCACCGCCGTACCACCACTGCGAAATTCCCCGTGCGGCGGCAGCGGCCCGCTGCTCCCCGTCAACACTATTCACCCCAAATCCAGAAGACGCTGTGGCCCCGATGTTACTACCGCCACAGGCCCCGCCATCATGCCACGTCGGCGAAAGGCCCGTACAGCCGTCATCCTGCGACAATGACGCCATTGACGCCGGCGTCAACGACGACGACGACGATGCTGACGATACGTCCACACGCAGCGGCGTCACAATCATCCAGAGCTGTAGCGCCAGGAAGGCTGAGGCAGCCACCAGCAGCCCCACAAGGCCCACGGCGCGCAGGGGGTCGCTGTACGCCAAAGACGCTACCCGGTCAATCCACGCATCCAGGGGACCGTCCTTGTCGAGAATACCTGTTGTGGCCCGTTGTCACGACATTGCGATAACCGGGAGGGTGGTGTGAGGGCGGGAGCTGAGAAGGTGACGAAACAAGAGAAACAGAAATATAAAACGGTCGGCCTTTCGGTTCTTTTTTGCACGTAGTACAGAGTTCCCACCTAGCTCTCGCGTACAGCTCTCTCCGAGGCCACTTACCTGAGAGACACATACGCACACACCACAAACACGAACAAACATACAGAAAGACACGCACACATGGTAGATAAGCAGACGCACAAACAGACGGACGCACATTCACACCGAGGCCCACAACCGCACCTCTCCCTCGGGACACCTCCGGCAGCATCTGTGTCACGAACAGCATCAGGTTGGCCAGGAACACCAGTCCAGTGGCACCCCAGGCGGCAGCGGCCATCAGCCGACTGGAGGCGTGGGAGCCCATCAGCTGCCGGTTGGAGGTGGCCTTGATGAGGGGCACCAGGGTCACCGGCAGCTGCAGAGCCAACACCACCTGGGCGATGAGTAGAAACCTGAGAGCGCGGGCAGGCAGGGGGATGGGGAGACGGGTGGCGAGAGGAGACAAGGCATGCGGACAACAAACACATGCGCCGCGGGGGGACCGGGGACGATGGAGGGGGCAAAGGCCCTTGACACAATACACATCCCACCCGCACTGCCTCACGTCCAGAGAGAGCTTTGGTATTCCCAAAAACGTAAGGTCCGTGATTGTCGCACAAGGGGCTGCAGGGGTACGCAGGCAACGTACTTGTAGGTGCCGCGGTCGCCGTACACGTACTGCAGTACGGCTGCCGGTATGATGGCCGCCGTGCGCGTGATGAGCCGACGCAGCCATGTGCTGATGTGGATGTTCAGGAAGCCCTGGAGAACCACCTGGCCCGCAATAGTGCCTGGACGAGGAAATGAAAAAAAGAGCCAAAACCCTTAAGTCAGTAACCAGCAGGGAGAAGAACCAACAAGACGGGAAAGCTGCACAGAGGCAGGTTCAAACAATGGCATAGACATTGGAGCAACAGCCGAGTCGACGATGTGCCTGGGAAACTGCCATCAGGCGAGGGTGGTGGCGGTGGGGATGGTGGGGATCAGCAAAGCACCATCCAGTCCAAAAATTCCTCCTTCCCTCCTTTGCTCTCGTGCCCTCCCCCTTACACCGCAGCTTACCTGTAAAAGTGGACAGCTGTCCCGCACACAGCAGCGCGGTACCAAAAGCCGCCGGAGCGATTGAGCTGCTCAAGGTCTGCTCCATGAGGTCATGGGCCGCCTGCAACGTGTGGACCACCACGCCTGTGTGTGGGGTTGGGTTAGGGAGGTTGTGTTGGGTTGTGTTGGGGGAAAGGATAAGACGAACCACTGGCGAATGAAGCAAATAAGGGGGAAGGGGGGAGAAAACACCGAGATCGGCAATGCACCCACCAACGACCCCCACATCGGTGGTGTAGAGGCACGGACACGAGCGTCATGACAGAATGAGCGAGTCACAGACGTGGGACAGTAGCGGCAGCCGCGGTACCGGCGATACGCCATAGCCATGGGTTCCCTGCCCTCAACCTCAAAATTTTACTCCCAATAATGTCACATATACCTATCAACGTCATATTCCTATTAAACTTTAGTCTGGGGGAAGCCCCTTGGGGTGCGAACGTTCTTCTAGGCTAGGGCCAGTTATGCCCATTCTGGAGTCCGAGACCAATCTTAGAAGGCAGGCGACCGCTAAGCCCACTATATTCCTCTGTTCGTTGTTCGAAACGGCACCTGCCTAGCGGCCAATTCGCCCAGTGGCCCCCCACTTTCACTTTTACCTGCGGAGTGGAACGTGGCCGCCGACACCAGCAGCAGCGCCACGTTGATCACCAGCGCCACTCCGAGCGCCGCGCCAATGTCCAGAAAGTTGTACAGACACAGCGTACGTATGTGCCCCTGAATGCCGTCACCACCTGCTTGCCCTCCACCCGCGGCTGCCGCTGCCTTCGCCGCCTGCCCCGAAACCAATGCGCTGTGCAGGTAGAAATTGTGGGGCATGACGTTGGCGCCCAACAGCGACACGGCCGTGTAGACCGAGTCGCGGCGCAGGCGCGGCAGCAGCCCCGAAACCACAGAGCGCAGCGGCGGCCTGGATACGAGGAGATCCACTAGGAAGCACGCGACCACAATGGCCAAGAGGCCAACGGTAAGCGCCTCGCTCTTCTTAACGCCTTGAGCCGGTACCAGGAGCAGTAGCAGCAGCGCGTCCAGGGACGTCAGGAGGATGCAGGGCAGTAGTGGCCAACCCAGCAGCAGGTTCAGACCGATCGCGGTGCCTGCGATTGCATAAGAATATGACCAGGAGGGGATTGTGAGCAAGAGATTGTCGGAAGCTGTACCGGTGCCATGCCGCGTGCACTGCGGCGACAGTATCTTTCGAAGGAGAGGTCAAAGGACGGCCGTGTTCCAGCGTGCGGATTGCAGAACGACGGTACAACGATAGTGAAAGTAGTGGCATACTGGCGAGGTCGTCTCCCAGCGGTGGCCAACAGGAGGGCGAAGCAAGAAGACTCCTCTAATGCGGAACCCTAAAATGGTAACACCATCGTGTTGGACACCAGGGCCTACCAGGGCCCTCACCCTCTCTGGCGGGGGTGGATTAGCTGCCTCACTGGGACGTTACGAAGGGGAATACATGCAAAATATAAAAGATAGCTGCCACATTGGTGGGAAATGGACTGTGTGTGCAAGGGAGCTTTCGGAGACCTCTCATATACCCTTTCCCCCTCAAAACTCTCCCCGGCCTCCTCTTCAGCAAAAGACAGCAGTAATGGTACCTCCCCAGGTCGTACCAAGCAGCATTGTGAGGTCCAAGGCAACAATGGAAATCTCGCATAGCACCCATAGGAGAGCACAAATCTGCGACAAAGATGGGATTAGAGACGAAAGGTTGGGAGGCGTGGGAACAGGAGCATGCAGCAGCAAGCCCGTCCAGGCTATCAACAAGCCTAACGCTGGTATACCATCAGCTGAGGGTCGAGGGATCCTCAAGGACTTTTGATGGCACTCCGGCATAGCCGACTGTGCTTTGAACGCACCTGAGGAGGATAGGACTCGCGGCAGACCTGGGCTAAGTGCTTGCCAGTCACAATGCCCAGGCGAGCTGCAAGGGTTTGAAGGAGGATGGCGATGAGGTTGGACGCCACGACAACCCATACCTGCAATAGGCGCAGCCACAGGTGACCCTAGGTAAACCTTATGAGCAACTAATTGCAACCATATCGATCCAAATACATGCATAAAGGAGTTATTGAAAGGTCCCGCTTTCTGCCTTTCAGCCCGCCGCCACTCCGAAGCCAGGAAAGAAAATACTACAGTAGAGAACTTATCCCATTCTTCAACATACTCCCCAGCCAAGACATTCCGCGCATCCCGAAGCGTCACGTCCCTCACCAGTTCATAGCCAAATTTTGAGCCCGCTTCAATCGCCGTCGCCCAGTTTCCCGGGTCCACCAAGGCAACCTACGTTAAGACATAACGAATACGCCTGAGGATCCGGCAATCAGGCGTAAGCAATTGCTGCAAGAGGACGGTTGTATGCAAGAATGGACACATGGCTGCCTCACCGAGACAAGGAAAGCTGGTCCCATGATGCGAACCGCATCCATAACAGAAAGGCGACGCATGATGTTTCGCCGAGAGCCCACTCCAGTGAGAAGCGGGCTTGACCTCAAGCATGACAGGAAAGAGACTTACTTTCATTACTAAAAATGCAAACGGTAGCGCACACATTACGAAAGATGAAGGATTCCACAGCTTTGTTGAGCGATGGGAAGTGGTCCCGGAGCGTGAAAGGAATGTTCATCCCTAAATGCCATTCGCTATTCCCTCCTGATCTCGGTTTTCATTTCATCTCTTATGATACAATTTTATTTCAACTCACTTTGGGGCTATTATCCACGTAACCATGCTTGCGCTTCGATCAACCCAGCTGACGTGCCGCCCTGTGGCTCCACGCCCAGCGGTGACTGCAACTCCACGCCATGTTGTTTCACGTGACATTCGTCTGCGGTCCTCGCCTGAGACGGATACGGAGTTTCTGACGGAGGCGGAGCGCAAGAAAGCTGAGGTCGGGACTCGCATATGCTTTCTATGTATCCTTGGTACAATGGGGAAACAAGCTCTAACTTAAAAATAATAACCAATTTCGTTTACATATTATCTATGGCAGGCTGACAAGCTTCGTGCTGCCGAGAAGTTTATGGTCATCGGGTCTGGTTCTGCGACGTGCAAAGGTTGTGGCTACGAGTATAAACCCGAAAAAGGCGACCCCGAATTTCCTGTGCCTCCCGGTGTGACCTTCCAAGCGCTGCCGGACGACTACGTATGTCCGATATGTGGTGCCCCCAAGCTTAAGTTTGAGTCACGCGCTAAAGTCGTTGCCGGCTTTGCGGAGAACCAGAGGTACGGTCTTGGAGGCAACTCCATGACTGAAAGCCAGAAGAGCTTGCTTATTTACGGTGCTCTGGCCGTCTTTTTCGTCCTTTTCCTTGCCGGCTACGCCCTTGATTAGGCTGTCGATGACTGGCTGAGGGGAACGTAACAGCTTATTTAGTTATTAGTTGCCATGCATAGGGTGAAGTGGGAAGACAGGGGAATGGAATGAACGTGGGTACATATCTTTTTGAGAAACTCAGAGTGATAAGGATACCCGGAGCAGCGCATCGCCAACAAGCTATATGGAGGGCTCCAGCATGCCAAGGCGGTGGTTAAAAGCGGGTTAACCCTCTATTCGAAAGCTTGTATCGTTGGCACAGCACTGCAGATATATCTGAGCGTTTGTCGTTACGGTTGGCGTACCAGGAGTTTTGTGTACCTGGGAATGCCGTCACCCGAATTTGTTTCTCACGGGTGTGTCATGTACGGCAGTTTTGCAGCGCAATTTTGGTCACTGACGTGTCGTTGTTTGCGGATCGCAAGATGAGATTCTGAAAAGCGTCTACAAGTGATTGGGGTAAACGTCGTGCCGTGCTAATGTACCTTACAGAGAATGGAGGACTTATGTCCCCTGAAGAAACCCAACGTTGTGACGGCGGCGTATTGGATATATGCCGCATTGGTATTGGATGCTTGTGGCAATATGTGAGATTGCATGGTCGAGATTAGCCAAGACATCGTGCATTGATTACCCCTTTTTCCATAGTGCGGTTTAGGCCTTTTATACGTGATGTAACATTTTTTCATTTCCTGGACTTCGCAGTATCCCCAGTCATGTCCTGATATTCCTTTGTTGCCGGGCGGCACACACGGTAGCAAGATCCGGTTGCCAGCCTCCTGCTGCTGCACGTTGTACGGATTCCAACATTCTCGGCACCAGGGGCACAGCGCGGGGCCCCGCGCGATGCACCCAACCTGCCGCTTGGTACAGTCGGCGCCAGTTGCAGTGCGTGCTTGCTGCTTGGGGAATCCAGGGCGCGCGTGCTACTCTCCTAACAGTGTCCTCTGACGATGCTGCCGGCAGGCTCTTAAGTATCTGACGCCGCTTTGAGACGGAGACTTAAGCCCTTTAAGCGACCTCGAGTGCTTCTGGGTTGCAGAATCGTGCAGACCATGATAACACATGTCACCCAGTTGTGCCACCCAGTTGTCATGGGCTTCAGCGGGGAAGGTTGGAGGGGTTGCGTGCCGCACGGGCGGCGTGGGTTGCCACGGTCAAGAAAGGAAGCTTGGATCGCCGGCGGAGGCGTACAAGGGCACCTGTTCCAGCGAGCGCAACAGTTCCAGGGCAAAAAGAAGCCCCCAACAAGGCCTCACGCCGTCTACCCGTTTGTGCATTTGGAACTATACAGCGCTTATACAGCGGGCAGAGGTCGGCAAACCTCTTGGTTCGTGTAGGTTGTATCGCAAGACTCGTAGCCGAAGTTATGCCGAGCTCCTTGGCTGCTGACCCTCCGCGGGCTTTCTTTGGGTCAGGAGTCGTATGCCCGAGAGCTGGAATTGACAGGTGGAGATACGGTTCTGCAATTGAAACAGGCTGTGTGTCGACCACGGGAAGTGGGTAAAATGCAATTGTACGAGAATATGACTGGAATGGCAACATTCTCCATGGCTCCGCCGTATTGCTATCTTCATTTTAACACATCTGTAGTATGCTTCCGAAGCATCAGCATCCGCTGTCGCAGCGCTGGTCGCAGCACCAGGCTGTCGGTACGCTTCTTGTCGCACCGGTAAGGATTCCGATGGTCATGCTGCGCAGCAATAACCTAAATTCATATTTTTTTATTGTTTGTGTTACTGCGCCGGAAATCCACGCGGGTGTAGTCGGCTGCCAGGTAGGTGTCGGTGCAAGCATCTTTGACTTTCTTTGAAGGTCATGTTTCCTGACCCTGTCCAGGCGACTTAAATTTTGGTGCAGGACCCCTTACGCGCGAAGGATAGCGACAATGGCGGCAAAGACCCTCACAGCCAGCGTCGAAACGTTTTCATCAGCTGTTGCCGAGTAAGCTGCTCGTTTGGCCTTCCTTGGCCACCATGCTGTTAGGAAAGAGGACCGGGCGTTGTCCGTCTGGCCGCTGCTCTCCTGCGGTCTTTCCATGCACGCCGCTTAGCTGCAGTAGGACCCGCAAGCTGTGTCTACTTTGCACTCGTAAAGGTTGCATCATCTGGCACATAGCTCTATGCGCCATCCTATTCCTTCAAGGTTCCCCCGGTACTTCCACTCAGAGGGCAGGGGCTCTCCGGAAGGTCTTGCTGCCGCTAGGAACTGGGACCAAGCCCAGCCCGTCCTGCTAGGACGCCGCCCCATGTTCGTTCCCTGGAGGGGCCTCGAAGCTTCCCATCGGCCCCCTGCGGCCGCCCGCTGCCACCGCCTGTCTGCATTTACTTTATGTTCCCTGCTCTTTCCTTCACCGCCGTCTCGGATCCATGGTAACCTGCACCGGTGACAGGCTGCAACAAGCCCCCGCTCCGCACTTCATCTTGTTCACTACTGACAACGATCCCAGCACTGGCAAGCCCTGGTGCCCGGATTGTGTACGGGCCGTACCGGCCATCCAAGCGGCAGCCGCACGAAGCCCCGGGACGCTGCTCGAAGTGACGGTAGGGCCCCGCAGTGCCTGGAGGGGCAACCCAAGCCACCCGTTCAGGTACGGCGATGCAGGCGGCAGAGTCTGGCCTGTTCAGCTCCTCGGTCGTGCCGTACGGTACGGCAAGGCGCAGGGGCGGCCTGTGGCGCTTAGGGCTCCCCCAAGTTTCTGCCAAGTTCCGAAGTTCAACATTTCAGCTCTACTCAATAGGTTGTTTGTTTGCTGCACCTGACCATGCATCGCCCACTGCATTTCCTTGAACCTTTGGAGCCGCGCGTCGTCTGTGGTTTCGCTCTTTGTGAGAAATGCGCTCTTTCCACGATGACCCGTTTATTCGTTAACGGCGCGTCCATTTACGTGCTGTAACGTGCTGCCGTACTCCTTTAGCTAGGGAGACGGAACATTTGAAAAGCACGCCTTCGTTGCCCTTCCGTATCTCGTCCTCCTCCGTATTCCTTTCATTCCCCCCTTGGCCCTATCCGCCCGGGTCCCTCGCATCCTCGCGGGGCGCTTCTTGTGCCGCTGCCGTACACAGGGTGGATCCAAAGCTCCGTCTGACTGGGGTCCCTACGTTACTGGCTTGGAGTCACTCTGGTGCCACACGGCGATTGGGGCCGGAACTGGAAGCATGTAGTTCGGCTGCTGAGGTAGAGCAGCTGCTGTTAACGACGGGTTTCTTCAACAATCCTTGAAGGATGCTGTATACGACGGAACTGTTTAAATACACGATGTGGAATGCTGTAGACCCAGCACGGCCTTTTTTTAGCTAGCCTCAGTCGGTGACTTCTTTGCCCTTGTGACAATACATGGAATTTGTTGCTGTTTATCCGGACGGTTCCCTGGTGCATGATAGCATTAAGGTGATGGTTAGGTGATGTGAGAGAAACTCCCATTGGATTATCCCTCGTTTGGGTGGAGTAGTGAAGCTGGTGCAGTTTGGGTGGAGTAGTGAAGCTGGTGCAGTGGGGGAGCGGGAGAAGAGGGCCGAGCTGGCTTTGAGGTGGCCTGCCTCTTCATCTAGCCGCAATGAGAATTTCGGAGTTCAAACCCGGTGCAGGATGGGAATTCATAGTTTGAAATGACAGTTCGGGCGCGAGCTGGTAACGAGAGGGGCCGGGTTGGCGCCACTTAACGTGAAGTAGATGTTATGCTGTATATATGCGTGATCTGCGTATGAAATATTGCACATGCACCACAAGTGACATCCGAACCTATCAATTGCAGATCATTTGTTCCTATGGAGCTTAGGACAAGGAGCAGCAGTCCCGACACATAAATTCGCAGGCCAAGGCCACAGTGATTATCATTTCCCTGCGTGTGTTGCGCATGCCGTCAAGTTAGACCCGTCGCGGAATCCCTGCTTGATGATAGCGTAGTGAACTAAGTATGCACCTTTCCATGTTTCCTTGGAAACACGACCAACCTTGGGCGGTTGGGCAGGCCACATTGGGAAGTTGCTCTTCGAGGAGCTGAGCAGGTGCCACCCTACACGTATGCCGGCATATTCTATAAGTCGCCGTTCAGATTGGCGTTTGTATATCATGGTCCAATGCTGCAACCTTCGACCGTTGGAAGGAGTTCTTATGGTAGAGCAGTGGGCTGCAAGCTAGCGCACATACTTTGATCGAGTATACTTCCATTCCAGCAAGACGCTGTATGCAACCGGGGTCCACGAAGGAGTGTTCTGGATGACTTAAGAATACGATTTAAAAAGTGATTCGGGAAGAAATGCCGTCACGTGGTACGAACACGATGGCCTGAGAAGAGAGAGGCAAACAGTTATATAATATTCCAAGTAAATACTGCCATTAAGCTACTATCTTTAGCCATTTCCTCCAGCGACTGAATTTAGGCGCGTTGGTCTCTAAGCGCCGGGCTACGATGGCGCGAAGTGCAGCCGTTGGGCTGTTGGCCCTTCTAGCACTCCTCGCAGCAGTGCAAGGAGCGCGTCAATCTAACAGAAAGGAAATTGTAGAGTCGCGCAAGAGTGAGCCAACTAAGTACAAGAACACCAAACCATTGATCGGCGTCCTCACGCAACCTTGCCATGACTGCCCCGGAAAGTAGGTTCAACATGGCCCCTGTCGAGGCTCGCCTTTCGCGACGACTGCTGGTATGTTTCATGACTTGGACTCATAACCTTTTTTAGGTCTTACATCGCGGCCGGTTACGTCAAGTGGATCGAGATGGGCGGCGGCCGAGCTGTGCCTGTCAGGTATGGCAAGTGGCGTCTACTGGTGCCTGGTCTGCCAGCGATGTATTCCATGGGAAAGCTCTGGCTCTTGTCCGTGTGGATTCTTTATGGAGTCAAACTGTCTTGACATGTGGGCGCCACGTGGAAGCACGACCCTGAGCCTAACTGCCTTACGTATATCTTTCTGCAAGGTTTTATGCTTCGGACAACGAACTCCATCGACTCTTCAAGTCGTTGAACGGCCTGGTGTTCCCGGTGAGCTCCCGCCTGCTGTTCTAGGCATCGGACCAGCTTTGAGGGTACTAGCTGAGTGCCATACCCAAAACACGCTACGCTAACATTTCACCCTTTACAATTCATGCATGCTTTCACGCGTCTACATGCTGCTTCACACGTCTTACAGCACCTCGAATTCCGCCAAAGGCATGAAGCACATCTTGGACACCGACATTCTACAGAGGCAGATCGACATGAAGAGAGCTGCCTGAGGTGCCTGTAAGGAAACATTTTAAAAACGCCAACCAGCTTTGATATTCCACAGATAGACATAGCCACCCCAACTAATTTCCTCTCCCTGACCGACTGTCTGAAGCTATGGGCTCCGGGGGCGGCCATCCGTGCATGTATGCCTCCAGGGTGGTCTTACCTGGCTGTGGCTGGACGCGCCGTACGTCATCGCGGCACGCAAGCTGTTCAACTGGGCAGTGCAGGCTAACGACGCCGGCAATGTGTTCCCTGTGAGTGGGGATTCCCAGATTCATTTACGGACTGGGTCTGGGCTGAGATGCATGAGAGAGCTTGCTTTCCCTCCGCGAGTGAGGACCTGTACCTTCATTAATATGTGTAGTTCGTTAACCCGTTTTGAAGGGCGACGGCCGGGGCCCGGGCCCGGGGACATTTGCCCTTGCCTGGAGTGAGGCCGAGGCGTAGTTTTATCTGGGTCACATCGCTTCCGGGTCCGCGTTCATCTTATCCCATCCCACCTTCCACACACTCTACTCGCCTCTCCCCTCCTATGCACTGCAACCTCAGATCCACGGCACCTGTCTGGGCTTCCAGCTGCTGCACATTTTGGCCTCCAACATTTCCCGCAATGACCTGCTGGTTGATACCGACTCAGTGGCGCACCCAACAACGCTAACCTGGCAGCCGTCAGCGGCGGATAGCCGGCTGTTTGGCGGCATAGCGGTGAGCGAGTCGAAGGCCCTTAGGGCCCGTGTGGAAAAAGGCTGGGCCCGGAAAATCCCAATGGGATGACATGATTGATCAGGTTCGCGTCTACGACTTGGGAAGTCTGTCGGCGCATTATCTGGTGCAGCAGCGGCAGTAGAGAACGCTGTGGGCCGCACTTGTACACTCTACTCGGATGTATGACATTGCGGTTGTGGAGCGTAGGTTGGAGCTTTGGAACACAACAGGAATCCTACCTGCATGGCTCTGCCTCGCGTTCGTCTGCACCGTACTGCTAGTCGCTGGGCTGCTCCCGATTCTTGGCTTTATGGCGAAGCAGGAGCCTTGAGCGTTGCTGTAGTCCTTTAGACTCCACCTTACGATGGTGGTCAGATGGTGTAGACAAGACAGCTCTTTCGAGAAACTGCATGGGGTTTCAGGCTTCTTTCTCTCTTTGGGCATGTGATTGTTATGGTCGTTGTTATGTCTGCTACCACCGCCGGACGCCGCCTACGGCGTGACAAACTTCCATTCTTTCCTTGGGCCTTGTTCCTCTACGGTCCTCTTTCCTCGTCCGACCTCAGCCCGATCTCAAGGAAAAGCTCGCGGACCCCAAGTACAACATCGCGCTCCAGAACCACATGTACGGCATCCCGCCGAGCTACTATGACAAGTTCCCTCTTCTGGCCAAGTGGTACAAGGCGCTGAGCACCACCAAAGACCGCAACGGCCTGGAGTACATCTCCACCATGGAAGGCGTCAAGTACCCTTTCTTTGGTAAGAGCAGCTAGACACCCCTGCTTGGTGGCTAACAGCTGAGAATGACGACCAGAGCATCCCAGGGGCTAGCAGCCCTTCCTGCCGTTCCGACGTGGCTGCGGCGCTCTTTTTAGATCAGTCGCGTGAGGCGTGTCCCTATCTAACCCTCCTATCCATGCTTGCATTCGGCGCGTTTCCGCTGCCGAGTTTTTAGGCGACCCTTTTGCTGCTTTTGTCGTTGTCGTCACGGTTGCGATGTCATTGTTATTCTCATGTCCGTGCTGTCGCTGCGCTCACGTAGGCACTCAGTGGCATCCCGAGAAGCCGCCGTACGAGTTCGGCATGGAGGAGGTGCCGCACAGCCTGGACGCCATCCGCGTGTCGCAGCACTTGTCTAATGTGTTCATGGAATTCGCACGCCAGTCATCGCACAAGCCGGTCTCCAAGGAGGAGGAGCTAGCCATGCAGATCTATTCCACGGCGCCCATCTTCTCAGCGCGCTTTGAGGTGGGTCGCTGGTTGGCGCGCTGGCTGGTAGGGTGGGTGGATGGGTGGGTGGGTAGAACGTTCAGGAATGTTCCTTGATTTTTTGAGGATTTTGAAGGCTTGACCGTCGGCCGGTGGAATAATGGCCGGCGCCTGCGCAGTGATGCGACCTTTAAATGATCGTGACCGAACGTCAGCGACGACTGATGGATCTTTGCGCTTTATGTCGCCAGCTTGTGTCCAAATTCTGACTGCCGTCGTCGGCCCCGTCATGCAAAATGCGGTCATGTTATAATAGCTGTACAGAGCAAGGCACCCATTGTCGAAAATACGCGCTAAGGCGCTCATCTAGCACCTATTCATTAGCGGCCTTTACAGCGGCAAGGCGCTGCATCAAACATAAACAAACAACTGCCAACCGACACGCCAGGTGATGGACGAGGAGAACTACGACGGCCCCGACATCACGTACTACTTTGACACCCCGGACAAGCCCCCGCACGGCCCCGATGATGATGAGGGTGAGGACAGCGGGCCCAGGCTTGGCAACTCGGCGAGCCAGGAGCAGGAGCAGCACAACGAGAAGGAGGACGAGGAGGCCAGTATGGCCGCACAGCATTACCGGTTTTGGAGCACTCAACAGGGCTTCTTCTGAAAAGGTCTCTCTCTGCGCGCGATGTGTATAGTTCTCGGTAGCGAGACGGGAGAGCGGTGTTGCACAGTTCTGAAGCAAGGCGGGAGATGGAGGGGTGACGTTTGGGAAGAGGGAACCTTAACTCGGCCCCTGTCTAGCGCTGCAAGGGCACTCTGTGTAACCCTCTTCCTTTGCTTGGTTTGCTTATAGATTCAGACTTTGTGCATATATTTGCTGTACAGCAGAGCTAGAGATTGTGGCGGCCGTTGCATCACGCATATCAGCCAGACGGGGGCCCGGTCGTAATGCTGGTAAGGTGGTCTGCTGGACGGGGGATTGTGTAAATGGCTGCTTATGCTGCTGTACGGAGTAATGGATGTGGATGGTTGAACCAGGCCCCTACCAACGCGGCGGGCGATGGCCGGCAGGGATTAAAGTGCGATGCTATTCATGGATAAGCCGGTAGACGGAGTAGCAGTTCGCCATTTCCACTGCATTCAGATTGAATGTTGTATTGCAGATGGATGTCTGCTCTCTCGAGTCTGTCATGTCGCTGTCATGGCTGTAGTGACCACGGTGGTTAGGCAGTTTAATCGATATTTCCGCTGTTCTGTGTTGGCAAATCTTGGCGGAGTGGAGAGGTGTGCCTGCAGGGAGGCGGCTATCGTTGTGTGCAGATAAGAGGGCGGGCTGAGAGACATGCATGCGACGCAGGCTGTCACAGACTGTGAAGAGCTTCTAAGCCGGTACGCGCCAAGAGGATTTATTGACTTCTTCGACTGACCGTAGTTACCGACACTTTGACGTGTTGAATGCGCTTGCATCGCGCTTGATGAAATAACTGTAGGAAAGCAAGCGAAATGAAGGATGGAATCTTAATTTGTACAGATGTTGGATGATAGGAGCGATCGAACATCTGCGCTGAGGCGGGAGCGTGAGCTTGGCAGGATTGATGTCGGGAGCGGCGGTGCAACTGTGAGATATCCGCCATGGGAATGGAAAGGCAAGCAAATTGTACATACATGCAAATGTTCGGGTTTCAAGCACGCTGCTCTTCTGGGTTCGTGTACTTACCCCACTAGGGAGGGAGGGTTGTACCAAGGTAGGATATGATCGCTATGCGTACTTATATATCAGGCTCCAAACGGGCTCTGCTGAGACGATATACAAATGTATCACGTTGGAGGGCACTACCTTTACATTTTACTATATTAGACATGGTGGTCCCCACCGAGCCTGCAGCACCTACTTCTCGTTTTAACGTGCTGCTTCATATGACTTCTCCGGCCTTTCTCAACCACCGGCACGACGGAATTTTCGATCGAATCAGAGTCATTTGCTTAACCTACATCACCGTGAGCAGTTCCTACTGAAGTTTTCACAGAACTAGGTCACCAGGTGACTCGGTCCCAATCCTACTCTGCGAAATATACCAGGAAGTCGGAAAGCATGCAACATAAGCTGCATTGACATTCAATCCAACGCCACGTCTCCAGTACCATACGCCAATACACCATCAACAGTGTGGGACTCGAACAGCCCATCTCGGGGCTGGCACACCTTTAAGCTGTGCCTAGCCAGCTGTGGCTAGGCACAGCACTACCCACAAATCGACGGGGTTAATGGTCAAATGCAGCATCCCGCGAGAACCTCTAAACGCGTCCCGCAAACCCGCGCTCCTTCGCACACCTCCTATTTGCAAACCACATCCTCCACTCCTCTTCCCCCACCGCATTCACTCTTACCACTCCAACCCCCAACCAAACTATAACCGATACCTGAGATACCACACCGGCAGTCGTGTCTGGGAAAGGGGGTTGTGCATCTGTCTTTTGAGCATCCTCATCTCGATGCAACGCGCAGCTACCCCGGCTATAGCACACGACGTCTAGACAGGCACCTGACGGCCTCTTGAGCACTACCACCATCAAAACTCAATAATTATAATCATATGGGTGCTCCAAGGTAAAAAAACCTCCGATGGACTCCGCTTAGAACTCGAGCCATTTATCGTAGTAGATGCACGTCTGCAGCGCGCCAACAAGACGATGTAGATGAGTTGGCGTTGAGTATCATTCAAAAAGGAAAAGTAGGAGTGGGACTACTGAAGGAGGTTTCCCCTGCGTGAGCAAGAACCGCAGGAATGTATGCAGGAGTGTACTATAGCAAAACACACACACACAGACGCACAAACAAACGGTAGTCGGTACAACGTGAGACAACATGTATCCTTGCAACACGCAATAATACACACCATTCATGCATCATGCGCGCACGTCAGTATAAAGGCCCACCTGCGGAGAGATGACGCCACCTTCCGCACACTCCCCAGCCACAGGACACACGCCACAGGGCACGTCTGTGAGCGACGTGGAGTCAGGGATGCCGAGCACAGCCAGGCGATAGTGGTCCTCGTCCTCATCACCCTCCGGCTCCACCTCGTCCACACGGCCGTCGTACACCAGCGTCATGATGATTGTGTGTATGTCCTCGATGCGCAGCTCTACCTGCAGGCGTTACAATGAAGCAGGCGTTACGGGCGACATTATGATACTGTGTGTGTGTGTGTGCATGACATGATCCTCTTCACGCCAAACTCTAAAAGTTTGGAGTTAAACTCGAAATACCTTACAGCCAATCCATTCCCTTCAATCCCAAAATTCCCAAAGTTCCTTCCCTAAGACAACCCTAGGAAAATTCAAAAAGCCCTAAAACCTTCAGCCCACCCACTCACCCACCTTGGAGAAGCCCCGGCTTCGGATGAAAGCTGCAATCTCACCCAGCGAGGACGACACCTTGTCCTTTCGCTTGATGTACGAGTAACAAGCCTCCCGCAGTACATTGATGAACTCCGAGTCGAACTGATTTTCCGTATACCTAACCGTTGGTACACCAGTACGGGAGTGTGCGAGCCGGCCAGCAGGCGCAAAAGCCATGCACATAGTCGGACGGACAGATGGGAATAAATGCGGACGCGTCAACAACCGGGCGGCAGCATGCAGCAAAAGTCAAAGAATTAACACACACACACACACACACACCCGAGGCGCTCACTGCCCCGTTGAAGACGGTGATGTTGGTGGGTTGGAGGGTGCAATTTGGAACCGGTTGCGAAATGGCGGGTCAGGCCAGGCACGCCTTGAGCTGGCAATCTTTTCGTGTACTGCAACGCAAAGAACCCGGCAAACACCCACCCACCCCACCCACCCCACCTTCCCCCCCCCCCCAACCTCTTTCCCTCCCCCCCGCTCAAGGTAAAACCCGCCCACCAGGCGCCTCCCGTCAGCTCCCGGCTCGGCTCCAGCTCCGACAACATGTACACCTACGACGTGCCGTACATTGCCGTACCGTCAGTACAGCAGTACATCATGTCGTTGCGATCAGGTACGGTAGTGTGCCTGCTTACAGAGTACGATAAAGATATACCCTGACGGCAAATACGCCTGGCATTGCTTGTCTGGGGTTGGTTTGGCTTGGCGACCAAGCGCTGGACGAGCAAGAAGCAGCTGGCAAGTCGGTCAGTCGGTGGCTGGACAGACCGGCTAGGTGGCTGCCCTAGCCAAACCGGCAGGTAGACTCACGACACATTTCACAGGCCGCCAAAACAACAAGCATGCCTGGTGATTAACCATTAATTGGTTAACCTGGCGAACAACAACTAGCAAGCGTAGCTAACTAGCAATAGAGCTGGCTGGCTGGGTGGCTGGGTTGGCAGGCAAGGACGGGTCATTATGCCTGTCAAGACCCCCTCCCTCCCTCCATTCCTCCCCACCTTTCTAGAGGGGTTGTTGACATTCTTGACGCTCTTTACCAGCCGGCGAGATTCCAACACCTGAGGGTGAGGGGGGGGGGCAAGGGAGGGGGGAGGGGCCAAAGCGCCAGGAAGCTATAACGGGACATACATGCAAAAGGGACGCGTGGAGGGGTTGGTGTGGGGGGGGGAGGGCAAATATGGGCACAAAAACAACAAAGTGAGGCGGAAACAAGACAATTGAAACTCCCGTTCCCACCGCGGAGCCGCCTATACACATATACATACATACATACAGATGGCTGGCAGAAGTTAAGGCCCGACTTCTGCTCCCGGAGGTTCCGGGTTCAAATCCGCCTGCCGACCTCTCGGTGTGTGAGAGGTGTTGAATTGGGAGGTGGGCCCCCATTTTGTGGACGGTGTAGGACGTGATTATATGAACTTGCGAGCTAACCAGAAATTAAGTTGTGGCGCCGTTGATCCGCTAGATTTGGTTGGATGCTGGTGGTGAGTTGCTGAACAAATATAATCTAAAGTCGGATGGGGTGAATGGATTAGGGTGCCACTCTCGCAGGGGAGAGCAGGGAACTGCCTCGGAAAAAGGGGCCGCTGGTGAAGCTATACCACCCTGTAACAACATCATACATATATACATACATACAGCATCCTGTCGCTTCCATCCGCTGTCTGTGCGTCCTCCTTTTGGCTGTTGCGGTGTTTCCTCCTTTTTCTTCCTGACAGCGATAAAGCCTCGCATCAAGATCCCCTTACATCAACATTACCGTACCCCCTCCCCCACCCCCGGGCCCCCCCAAAACACACACCTTGAGAATCTTGGTGATCTGAGGTTGCGCCAGATTCGTACGGATGCGCATGTCCTTGGTCCACACGCCTTTGGCACGGTCGAAAATAAAAGTCCGCGATCGAACCAAAGGAAAAAGAGAACAAGATGAAAAAGGGATAGGTCGAAGAGGAAATACAGCAATAAAATAAAATAAAGCTGGCGACAGAAAAAAGAAACGTGGTTTTTTCTCGTCTATTCAAACTCACAGCCCATTGGCAAATAAAGGACGGGGGACGAGATTAGAGGCGTGGAAAAGGGTATCCCAGGGGGCTCCATTTTTTCTTTGAATGCTTCAATCTTCTCTCCCAATCTCCCGCGCCCCAAATCCAGCGAGTAAACCCCCCACACACAACACCCCAACACACCCCAGGTAACAAAACCCTACCCTACCGCCAGTGGTGCTCACACACACCAGCACCCCACAACTGCCACATCACCTAACCCCAACCATCACCTTCCCCACCCGCCCCCCGTTGTAAGTTCGTTTTAAGTTCGTTGTACAGTACTGAGCAACCTCCCACCCACCCACATGCATTCATGCGACCATTGCCACTTATGGCTCCCTGTGCTCCGTCCCAACTGCTAGGGGCCACCCAGCCCCCGCTGAGGGCTCGTCTTTCCTTCCCCCCTCCTTGCTTTAACCCCCTCCGCAAACCCCCCAATGTCACCCCCCCAATGTCACCCCCCACAAACCCGCCCTCAACGCCCACCCCCGGCATACCGGTGTTCCCCGCAGCTTTGATGCACTGGTACAGCAGCAGCTCCTCCGTGCTGAGCCCCTTGAACCTGCCGGAGGGGGGGGACACCACCGCCACCACCACGAAGTGGAAGGGGAAGAAGAAGAAGGCCGAGGAGGAGGAGGAGGCGGAGGAGGATGGGGAGGGGGGTGACTGGTAGGGGGACCCTGTGACTGGTAGGCATCAGGCAGGTAAGCAGGCAGACGGACAGGCAGACAGACAGACAGGCAGACAAGCAGGCAGTGGGGCAGACAGACAGACAGACAGACAGACAGGCAGTGTGTGAGTGTTTGTGTTTCTTTTGTGTTGTTTATCTGGCACTGGACACTGGACCCACTTGGCGGCCTCCTCCGCGGCCACCTCCTTGTACACGATCTTGTTGCTGCTGTTCTTGAGCAGCTGCGGGCAGCAGTGCGGTGAAGGGGTGGAGGAGCAGCACGCGGAGAAGAACCAAATTATATTAGCATATCACGAATGGTGCTGCTGGTGCTGTAGTGATTGTAATTATTCAAAATTTTAATGTAATGCTGCTGGTGCTGATGTTGCTATTGATATTGATGATGATGACGATGACGATGATGATGACGATGATGATTGTGACGATGAGACATGAAGTCTTAATACGGTCGTATGGTGAACCACAGGGCTCGTGGATGCCCTGGTGTATTAGCTGGTCGTGGCGGTGGTGGCGGTGGCGGTAGTGGTGGTGGTATCGGTGGTGAAGAGCACGGATATACACACCCATCCTCGACAGTGGCTCTGTCCTTGTTAAATACACACACCGACATCCCTCCGGTACTCGGCAGCCGCTCCCCTCCGGACTCCCCTCCGGACTCCCCCCCTACCCCTACCCCTCCTAAACCACCCTACCCCCTCCCCTCCCCCCCCGGTCCCCTACCTCCCCGGTCCCCTACCCCCCCCCTTACCCTTCCTCCCCTACCTGGAGTCTGTTGGCAGCCAGCAGGGAGTTGACTGCGTTGACTCGCTCCTCGATGGGCACTCCAGGCAGGGCGGCACTGAGGGCCTCATCAGTGACACCCTGGCAGGCCGGGAGGCGGGGGGGATAGAGGAGGGGTGTAGCGGGACACACGGGACGCGGAGCAGAGGAAGGGGAGAGGTAGAGGGTCAGGGAGAGGAGGAGGGGGGTCGGGTGCAAAATGGAAGTGGCGCGGTGCGGTGGATTGCGCGATGTGCAAGCTGTGGCGAGGCACGGTGTCTAGGTGTAAGCTAGAGCTTGTGGATTTGGGTTAATGTATCGGACTACCCAAAAAACGGAACTACCGGAATACCGGGCTACCGGAAACCGAAAAGAGTTGGGGGGTTTGGGTTGGGGTTCAGCCTGCGCCACGTAAAGACTGCCAGACGAGGGCGCATGGGCCCGGGGACGTATGGGCAAGGAGTTGGAGCCGCAAGGGAAGCGGGCAATTGCAACCACAGGGAGGGTGGCTGCGTTGATCCCTGTGCGAAGTGTCACCGTCGAAGTTTGGGACGAAGGGGTCCAGCTGTACATCCGTGAGCATGGGGCAAACCTGCTTTGCCCTCACCTGGGGGTTCTGCCGGAGCAACCTGAGGAGATCCTCCTCCACCGATCTGGCGGCAGCCATGTTTGGGCCGGTTGTTGAAACGCCTTCTGACCGGTCCTGCGCGTTGTGATGGCCCCGGCCAGTTCCTCTGTACTACGAACGATACCTAGAACACAGCCTAACCAGGGCTTCGATGCATTCCTTAGCCGTTATCGCATGTCCTGGATAGTTCAAATATGGGGTTTAAACCAAAGAAATCGCGTTTTTGCAGGATTGGGTAACGATGGTTGGGCGGCGGGAGAGGCGATGGCAGACTGTGACTTGAGGAAGTAAAACGTGCTTGTGGTGATCGAAATTTCTCTGGGGTTTAGGCCTTGCATTTCCGCCTCTGGGCGAAATTGGAAACGGCGTACGGCGTCGTTGACAAAGAAGGGTTCCTCAAGAGGTTGAACTTCAGCATATAACAGTCTATTTCTATTTCGCTAGTGGCGAATACCATATGATTTTACCCAGATAGCTATACTTGCAAAGCTCTTTTTTATGCCACATAAGTTAAGTAGATGAAATAAGGTTTACCCAATACTGAGGCCGTAGGATTGCATCTCCGGAGAACATCCTAAAGATGGAGAACGGGGAGCACAAACGCAAGAGGAAGCGTAGCCGTAGCAAGGGAGGCCCCAGCGAGGGCCCGGGCGGCGCCGGCACGGACGCGGGTGAGCTCGCAAGGCAATTGCAGAATAATGGCTTCTGTTCAATATCAGATGCTACCCATAGTTGTGTGTTGTGCTGACTCGTTATTCTTTTATTCGTCTGCGTAGTTTCTCTTCCGTTGGTTCCAATCGTCGCATTTGCCACGATTTCTGTGTCCCTCTGCGACAGGTCCTTTACCAAAGCAGGGTACTAAGCCACAGGTTTCGACGCCAGGCGTTCGTCAGAGTAAAGCATTGCAGCAGAATGGCAAGAGTGCCCAACCGCAGCGGCCATCTTCAGCTCCTGTAGGAAAGGCGGCCGCGAAGGGCAAGTCCCCGCAACAACCAGGAGCCGCAAAGCAGCAGATCGCACCAGCTGCCAAGGTAATTACATCCATGTTTTGGTTATCGTGGATACGGTGATACATGCCGACTCCAAAAATGAGGGAATGGGCGCTCTAGCAGGGCTGTATGCTATGTTGCAGTCACCGATACAAGATTCTTGCTCCTAATTACAATCAGCAGGGCTTTCTATCGGGAGCCCCAATAGAGTCCCTTGCATGTAGGAGTCACACGGTCCCCTGGGTCACTGGGTCGGCGTTTCTGCGTCTCATCACGTTTTGGTGGCCATGGGGCCGGTTAAAGTTTGAACCCCTAGCACGGCACAGTCTGTTCTCCTTGCTTTAGCTTTTTTTAGCTATATTACAGCTCCTGTTCGTGCCGTGTGTTTGGCTATCTGTTTGACTGCCTGCATGTGTGGCCGCCAACAATGTTTTGGCTGCAAACCAGCAGCAGCAAAACGATAACAGAAGAAATGTGCTTTGCTCGAATAATTGGACACTGCACCTTGACTTTGAGAATTGTTGATGTGTTGTACGTGCAGAAATCGAAGCTCGGCAAGGGTTTACCAGGGGCCCAATCTAAACGACCACCGATAGAGGAGGAGGACGCGGAGGACGACGACGAGGGCAGTGACGACGACGAGGGGTTGGGAGAGGACGGTGATGCTGGCGACTTCAACAGCGAGGACTATGACGAGGATGGCGGCGGGAGCAGCAGTGGCGCGGAGGAGGGCGACGATGACGAGGATGGTGATGATGATGATGATGGTGACGACAGCGGCGATGGCATTGGTGAAGAGGAGGAGGAGGAGGCAGAAGGCGACGCGAAGCGCAAGAAGGCCAAGAAGAAGGTACGAGACGACAATTTTAGATTTTGATGCCAAGGAGACAGGTTCATTGCCGATGCGGTTATGGCTCTCGTCTACACACACAAAGCATGTTAGATCGCGGATGTGGGTGCGCGCCCTCGTGGTCGGCTGCCCCCGACATCATATTCCTCGAGCGGGGTGATGAGAATGCGTTTAAAAGCCCTGATGCCACTTCGCTCAACGCGGGGCTGGCGGCTGAAGGCTGTCTTCAAAGTTCTCTGACCGCTCTGTGAAAGGATGCAGAAAGAGCATCGGATACGATAGGACTGAAGGAGCTCCCCTGGGCCTGGGCCCAGATACAGTTATGATGGTAATTTGGTGGAACCTTTGCACGAAAGTGATGTTAAAATGGCTGTGTCGGCGATTGGCGGTGGATTTAGGGCTGGCGGGGCATGGGAAGGGAAGGGTACGTTAAAGGGAAGCAGGCGCAAGGATAGATGTGTCCTTCCTGTCAGTGTCCTTCCTGTCAGCTACCGTTGTGCTGACCTCGTGGAGTATTAAATCCGATCCGGACCATGCGCAATCTCTTGGATCCGGATCTGGCGGATCTTCGAAGCCAAGGGGACGGTTTGATGAGAAAATCATCAAGTACTCGACGCCATTCCGCACGTTGCGGGGTTGGCGGCTGAGGGCAGTCTTCAAAGTTCTCTGACCGTCCCTTCAGAATATACCGCCTCCTTCATTATCACACACACACACACATTTAAACTATACTAATTACATTACATTTCATTATATTACATCATACAAAAGGACGCACATGCCGGCACACGTCTTCTCGTTATAAAGTGAAGTTTTGTTTCTTTCCCGTACACAAGCACGGTAACTGTCAACGATTCGCGTTTTCCTCAACTGTCAAACGATTTTTTGGGGGCAACTCTGCCTGTAGGCCTCCGCTGTGGACGCGGACGAGAAGGATAATGTTTCTCTGGATCCGCGGCGGGATTCTTCAACCACGCGGGCGGGAGGAGGCGACGGTTTGGCTCTGGAGGTGGAGCGCCACACTGCCACCGTTGCGGGCATCATGAGTGCCACTGAGTTCTCCACCCTGGAGCTCACAGAGAACACACAAAAGGTGCGTCCTCGGTGGCTCCTTTCCGTGCGGCTGCTCCTCGCGTGTTCTCTCTACCTTTCTCCCCCCTTGCTCTCTCTCTTTCGCCCTCTTTCTCTCTCTTTCGCAGTCTTTCTGTAAAACCAAAAAACATGACGGCGACGATGCTTTGCTGCTGCTGTTGCCGAAGATGATGCTGCTGAACTGTTGCTGGTATCATGCTCAGCAGCATTACATTTGTACTGCTGATGTTTTTTGGTGGTGGTGTTGCTCTCACTTCTGATGCCGATGTTGCTGTTGCTGTTTACTGCCGCTAATGGGGCTCCGGGGGCCTTATGCGCCGCCTTTCGACATTGGCAGTTGATGATTTGCTTTTTTTCAGTTGATCTTTGTCTCCCCCTTTCCCTACCCCCATCCCCGTTCGCCAGTGGTTCATCTTACCCCTATCCCCGCGTCCACACCCGTACCACGGCTGGTCTCCCACAGGCTATTGCCGACATGGGCTACACCCACCTGACGGAGGTCCAGGCGCGAACCATTCCAGCGTTGCTGACGGGGCGGGACGTGCTGGGCGCCGCCCGGACGGGTGAGTGAGCCGGATAAAAGTGCTTGCAGAGCCAGTGCTGCAGAGCGGGGCCCTGGGGGGTAGGGGCGCGTGAAGAAGGGGATATGCTGATATGCTGGGTCATTTCTTCCGCCTCATCCGTTTAGATTCCCACCAGCTCCACTCACACAACTCCCGAGGGTCCCGCACTTCCCCACATCCCCATCCATCACCCCAGCCGTTCCCAACTCCCACCGCATGTCCCACTTGCAGCAGCTACCCTCCCATGCACACACAGACCTGCCAGCTCACTCACTGACTCACTCTCCCTCGCTCACTCGCCCTTGCCGATCTCCATCCCCATTCCAATTCCACCCCCCTTCCCAATCTCCTTTTCCGTGCAGGCTCCGGTAAAACGCTGGCATTCCTGGTGCCCTGCGCCGAGTTGCTCTACCGGGCCAAGTTTATGCCGCGGAACGGGACGGGGGCCGTCATCATCTCACCCACACGAGAGCTGGCGCTGCAGGTGCCAGGAACGGAAGAACAGGGGGGAAAGAAGGAAGACGAAGGGGGGGTGTTTCGATGAACTGAGCATCTGTACCTACATTCTGGAATGAATGTAGGTACAGATAAGTGGATAGGTGTAGGAATGTAGGTACAGGTACTCGTCCTCCTCCTTGCTCGAGCCCTTCACCCCTCTCTCCAGGTCAGTTCTACTCCTGGTACACTCTTGCCCTGGCAGCAGCTTCACTCGTTCGTGGTTCGTCTTTCCTTCCCCTCTCCCCCCCACCCCAACTTGCGGGCCCTCACGACACGTGTAGATCTACGGAGTGGCTCGAGACCTGTTCAAGTACCACACGCAGACGCATGGCATTGTCATGGGCGGAGCTAACAGGTGGGGGCGCACGGGCTGTTGCCCTTCATGTTGGCTTTCGAATACGATTTCCCCCCTCCCCCTCTCGTCGTCTTCCCGCTCCATTTTTCACTTTTCCGCTGCCGACCTCGCTTTGCATGTGCATTTTTTCACCCCGATCTTCACCCTGAACGTCGGCAGTTGTTTTTATCCTCCTTGCTGTCCGCGCCAAAGAGCTCCTCACCTTACACTTCACTTTTCCCCCCATCATCATGACCCGCCAGCAGAAGTTGTCCGTTGTAAGAGGCCTTCTCTTTTGTGTCTACGTATAAAGTATACCCCTCCCTCCGGACCTCCCCTTCCCGTCCCGGGCCCCTTCCCTTTTCGAGGGAATAAACCGTCGGAAGCTGTTTTTCTTGATTTGCGTAAAACCTCCTTTCCTCCCCCGTCCAACACACACACGCACACAGGCGCACTGAGGCCGAGAAGCTGGTCAAGGGAGTCAACCTGTTGGTGTCCACTCCGGGTCGATTGCTGGACCACCTGCAGAACACACGTGGCTTTGTGTTCCGTAACCTGGCGTGTCTGGTGATTGACGAGGCAGACCGGATCCTGGAGATTGGGTTCGAGGAGGAGATGCGCCAGGTGGGTTGGGTGGGGATGGGGGGTTTGACAAATAGCATTACTTTAAGACAAAAGACAAAAGTTAAAATGTGTTTGATTAGAATGTGGATGAGACGCTGCACTAGATACTCATGTGTGTGCGCTCGTTCGTCGCACCGTACCCTTGCTGGCCCGCCCTGGTATCCCTCCCGCCGCGGTCAGGGCCCCATCTGTCACGGGGCCACATTCGTGTTTCTCCTTTCCATGTCTTACGGTTCTCGGTTCTCGCGTGCTCTGATCTGCTTCGTCGTGTCTGCGCTGGCCACACAGATTATCAAGATTCTGCCCAAGGAACGACAAACCATGCTCTTCAGCGCTACGCAAACTACCAAGGTGGGTACGCTTCCAGCGGTGTGTATAACGTCCTACCGTACGACACGTACGATAATGTCTGCTGTGACATCGTCAATCGTGACGTTGTCGATCATTCTCAATCGGTCATTAGTCAGTCGGGTGTGGTGTGGGGTGGCGCGGAGTGTGGAGCGGGGGCTCTTTGGTTTGGGAATCGTGTTTGTTCGGGCACCCAGGACGAATCATGAATCATCCCACTTTGTGCGCCGGCAGATTACACCTCGAGTTTCTCGCATATGATATTCCCCCCAGGGCCGAGGAGACACCTTTGTGTAACTGCCCTGCACGCATCCACACCTTTTGTTTGCGGCCAACCTCTCATCGGCAGGTGGAGGACTTGGCCCGCATCTCCTTCAAGCACAAGCCGCTGTACGTGGGTGTGGACGACGGCCGCTCCGTGGCTACACGGGAAGGTCTGGAGCAGGGTTACTGTGTGGTGCCCGCGGATAAGAAATTCCTGTTGCTGTTCACTTTTTTGAAAAAGAACGCCAATAAGAAGGTCATGGTGTTCTTCAGCAGCTGCAACAGCGTCAAGTTCCATTCCGAGCTGCTCAACTACATCGACATTCCCGTCAAGGACATCCACGGAAAGCAAAAGCAGCAGAAACGGACCACGACCTTTTTCGAATTCTGCCAGGTGTGGCCAGGGCGCTCGATATGGCCTTTTTAATTGTATTGTTGGGTTTATGGCATACCATCTCCACCGTTCTTATGGCAAATCCCTTTCCTAACCAAAATTGTGAACGGCCGTTTTCACTCTCAACTGGCTCACAATACCCGAAAGTAAAAATTCCGCGTCTTTTGACATAATTTCTGTCTCTCTCCCCACGTTGCCCGTGATCCTGGAAAATCGTTCCCGAAGGCTGAAAAAGGCATCCTGCTGTGCACTGACGTGGCGGCTCGAGGTCTGGACATCCCGGCCGTTGACTGGATCATCCAGTTTGACCCGCCGGACGATCCACGCGAATACATTCACCGTGTCGGCCGTACAGCCCGTGGCAAGGAGGGTCGTGGCCGCGCGCTGCTGCTGCTTCTCCCGGAAGAACTCGGCTTCCTGCGTTACCTCAAGGACGCCAAGGTGCCTCTGAACGAGTACGACTTCCCCGCCTCCAAGCTGGCCAACGTCCAGTCGCAGTTGGAGCGGCTCGTGGAGAAGAACTACTACCTGCATCAGTCTGCCAAGGACGCCTTCCGGTCGACTATTTTGGCGTATAACTCCCATTCGCTCAAGGAGATCTTCAACGTCCACCGCCTGGATCTTCAGGCGGTGGCGAGGTCATTCGGGTTCTCCGTTCCGCCGAGGTATGTGGCCAGTGGGTGCGGTGTAGTATCGAATAATTCACACATACATATATGTATTTTTATGTATGTATATATAATGTACATTACTTATATACAACGATAATAAACATAGAAATAATCACAATTTTTTTTATTAAAAGCATACATGCATATACACACCTATATTTGTGTTTGGATGCAATCAGTTGCGCAACTCCAGGGCATATTGTGTTTCCTTGATCACTCTTCGGTGTTTCGTGACCTAACAAGATCCCCCTAGCACGTGGCTGGATTCTGGGGTATGTACGGATGTATGTAAGGCATTCCACCGGTTAGAGAACGGCGGGTACGATGGGGGGGGATGGTGGAAAGGGCGCGGGGAGGGGGGGACACGGTGGATGGTCAGGCGGTGATGGTAGCGGATGTAATGTACGGCATGTGTGTGTGTGTGTGTGGTTGTTACAGCGGGCTCCAGACTCACGAAGTGTAGAGCCAGTGGCCAGTTGGCCGTGCACTGCACTTGGGACGAACACGTGTTGTTGGAGGGCGGTACATCAGTGGCACTGTAGCGATGTGACGGAGGTGACCTGCTCTGCTGCTGCAGGGTCCCCGCATGGTTGATATTCTTGATTGTGACCCTCCTCCCTCCTGGCCACCTGGCTTCTGCATCCGCGCCGTTCCCCCTCCGCAGGGTCAACTTGCAACTTGAGAGTCACTCGAGTCACTCGCGCAAGGCGGCTCGACTCAGTGGAGCGGGTGGGGGGCCCAAGGGCGGAGCTGATTACCGGCGAGGCATGGGTACCGGACACAAGTTCAGCGCGAGCAACCCATATGGCAAGCGAGATGCCGGGGACAAGCGGCAGTTTGTGCGGATTTGATGTGGGCGGTGCAGTGATGATGTGATGATTGTTTGTCGGTATGCTTTGGGACGTGCATGATGCGGGGGATCTGTGCATGTCTGTTTGTGTGTGTGTGTGTGTGTGTAAGGAGGTACATGTGTGTTTGGCCGCGTCTTCCTTCTAGAAAGGACGTGTTCTAATGATCTGAGCAGCGATAAGGAAAATGAGGGCACGTATTCTGCTTGCATGCGGGCCTGACATAGGAATCGGGCTATTTCTGCAAGCTTTAGGTGCGTGTGTCTATAAAGTTTGCCCTTTGCTGAGCAGGGCGCACATTGCGGATGGGTAAGCTCGCAATGGGGGGCGGGGTTAAGGGAGAGAGGAGGGAGCAGGGGCGAGACACCACTTCGCTTTAACACCCTGGGGGAGCGGCAAGGTAACGGATTACAGTCCTGTTCGTTATCGCCGGAGTGGTGTCAGGCAATTGATGCGTGTCCGGAACTAACGACACCCGGGCTGGGTGCAGACAGCATCATGTGATATCACAGCCGGTGGGTGATTTCGTAGGGAGGTCCGTACCGGCCTGAAGGTGTGCTTGTCTGGTTCTGTTCGTCGTGCGGCGAGACACCACCGAAAGGCGACTGATACGAAAACCGGGACCGGAGCCTTTTTGTTTGCCAGAATTGTGAAGCGCTCTGCAAGTGCGGCCCATATTGATGGGCGAGGATTGGAGCATTCAAAGTTCCTAACAAGAAGCTCTTTGACAAGAGGGTCTGTTAGTCCACACGCTCTGCACGAGCCTTTGTTAAACACGGACACTAAATCATATGATATGGATGGTCGCGCTCTTTACTCAGGTCGCGGGAAATGGAGGAGGTGGCATCGTGGGCCATGTGACGGCGAAGGATTCAATGCGTTAGGTTGGATAGATATCGGCACGCTAATACAGGCGGCTTTAGCTGGTCGCCGATTCCTGGGGGTGGAATTGGAGGATGCGTGTTGAATCCCGATCGTCTGTCGCTGCTGCTTTGTTTGGTTTAGGAAGCAGAAAAAATTAGAGAGGCGGGAGCGGCTGGGCGTGCGGAAGTGACCCCCGACAAGGCCATGAGCTGGAAGATGATGATGCTGCATCCCTCCCTCCGTCCCTCCCTCCGTCCCTCCCACCTGACATCACACTCCCTTTCACACATCTCAACCTATGGCATAAAAGGGTCGGTAACCGACCGGTTAGCTTTACCGTGTTTAGCACAACCGTTCGCTACAGTCGGGTAACTGACATATCCAGATAACGACCTGCTAACCGACCGGTAACTCAACCGGTCGTTACCAGAGGTCGGCAAGTCGGTTTCTATGGCTGCGGTAGGGCATAATTTCGGTCAATAAACCTGAAAAAAGGGCTCCACGTTCCGTACACATTGCAGGCCGATTGTTTTACCGGGGGGGACAAGGGTTCGTCGCCAGGCAAGTTCTTGCGGCGTGAAGTTAGTGTCGCCCCCTGAGCTATCCATCCTCATGAAGCCGACCGCATGCGTTTGAAGTGCGGGTCGCGAAGGATATTCTCAACCTTATCGGCGATGTGCTTGTGGAGGTGCATCCTAGTGGAGGACTTGTACTTGGCCATTGCCCCCTTCAACCTTGCATCCTCCTTCATCAAGGACCCCGACGTACTCAGCTTCACAAAAAGACGCTCGTTAAGCCGGTGATGTTTGGTACTTAAAGCCAATCCATGTATTCACAGATCGCTGGGAAGTGAGTGAAAGGCATGCCTTGGTACAGGACCATGTATGCGCCACCAAACAGAGGGATTGTCGGCAACCTCGGTCATGGCCAGGTGTTTGTTAGTTTGCTGCTGCTGCTGATCCTGTGTGTACTGGTCTATAGCCGCTTTGTGGGAGTGGGAGGCCTCGTGCCGGGTGTAAGCTGAGCGATCCCAGTTCATGCGGGAAATGGTGGCATTACTTCTTATGTGTGTCTCAAAGAAAGCAGACGACCATCGTCGAGCCCTGAAGTGCATAGGCCCAGCTCTTGAAATCACCACCACAAGCATCAGTCAGCCAAACAATCTCCTCGTTGGGAATATGTGGCCGCTCAAACCCCGGGGGGACACCAACGGTATAGGTCTTGTTGGTACACTTCCGTTGCATGTTGGCCGGGGGCAGGATTGTTGCCGGCTGCTGTTCGGGAGCGGTGGTATTGGGGTTGGTGGGCAGGAGAGATGCTGGCTGCTGAGTGGGACCGGTGGCGGCGGTTTTGGCTTGAGTGTGCCTTTTCTTCTGTGGAGGAAGGGCCACGGTGCTGGTGTTTCCGGAGGTGGGAGGTGGTGGTGCTGGGAAAAGTAGACCTGGAGCTTCACCGGCACTGCCCGATGCCCCAAGTAACGGCTCTTCCGCCTCAATATCTGTTGCTGGGGGCTCAGCAGTGGCTTTACGACCAGTCAGCATGCTGGCCAACGTGCGTTGTCGACCGCTTGAGATTTCTGCACATGTTTCCTTCGTTCCCCGGCGAGATGCCGTCGACATGCCGCGGCCAGCAGTTAGAGAGCATGCTTAAAATACAACCAATATGATGAAGATTATGTATAGGATAGGCTACATGCGACCAGTATCTGGTATGCCAAAGTCCACAAGCAATTGCAAGTCATCGGTACATGTAATAATGTATCAATGATAACCGTCGCCAAATTCTGTAGAGGTGGTCATGACATTCTTTGACAAAGTCAAACACAGAGTTCGAGTCCAGCGTGTGCAGGTAGGGCCATGTGGCCCTATGGGCCGCAATAGATGCTGCAAATCACGTCTTTTGGTCGAATTTTGGTCATTTGGGTCCCGCAGCAGGGGCCTAAATTAGGTGTTTCGTATGTAGGATTGTATGGCTTGGTGAATGAGGAGCACAGACGACAATGTAGGTCTCACATAGGTCTCACCGGCAGCCAGGATGATTACAGTGAGATGTGCTGCAAAGTAGGTTGTGAAATTTATCAACATTCGGTTGGACATCTTAACACTCATGACATAATGATGACCTTGATTAAGGATTACGGATGACTGATAGGTACTTTGTTCATTTGCAAAGCAGTTTAGCTAATATCAAAGCGCGCGAAAATGACTAGGGAAAATCTCCGAAACATGCCTTTTACTACTGAGATCACACAGGATTTGCAGCTCGAAAATGACAAGTGAGACTCTCCCTAGGGGTACTTGTATGACATGGATGAAAATGACTTGCAAAGGTGATAAAGGCGGGGGTAATCAAAGCCGGGTCAGATAAGATCAAATGTTACACCATGACTGACTGACTGACTAACTGGCTGGGCCTGCCCAGGAAGCGCGCCATTTGTGCACCCAAAACAACCTGGCAAGCAATCAAACACTCTGGGAAAGGTTTTCACCCGTAAATTCATGTTTACCCGTAATCACGTGGTCTTCACATGTAATTACCGGCCAAGAAAATTTGTACACATGCTTATTTTTAAGTTGCCAAAGCATTCCTTTTATAAGGAATAACATAGGTGACATTTTGTTGGTTGCCCGTGCTGGAAGTCATCCACAGGTTACATTACCCGTAATCACAAGGTCTTGACCCGTAATCCCCCAAGCCGTAATGCACAGCACCCGTAAAATTTCACGGGCTTAATTGCGACGAAGACGTTTTATGCGTGTGTGTGTGTGTTACACGGTTGGCGGTGCGTGACCCCATACCTGTAAGACTACCCATACAAGCCGAGGGCCCAAGGGTAATACTACAACGCCTAAAAGCCACGGAGGAAAGGAAAACACCGCACATCAGCCCAGACTAGCGTCTAAAGGGGGTAATTGAGTTTCAGTGAGCCCACATACGTTCCAATATCCTCGCCAGACGTGCGGGTTCCCATTGCATGGCCTCCAACATGCTCTGTTGATGATCGAATCCCTCTTCAGCACGAATATCATTATAGGCTGGGCATTCCAATAACAGGGGTTCACATCCTCAATTCGGCTATTAGTACCACAACAGTGGCAAAACCGCTGCCCCCTGGGGACGTGGTACTTGCCCCTTCGTGCTCTGTTTGCCTCCAAAGCCCAGCAACATAAACGAAACTGCATTACCTTACGATGTGCTAACGAGGAATGAAAACCTTAGCATGTGTTGGCCACATGACGGCTGCGGCTCCCGAAAAGGGCAGCCCCATCCAGTGCTTATACTTCGCCATTTGCACTCCCGGTTGCTTCCCATCTGATGGGTAGCCTACTCAACAACCAGTCAACACGCTCCTTTACCCCCACGACTTCTTGCGGTATTCCACTCCAAATGTTGCACTCCAAGAAGGAAAACAGTTGTAACAGTGAGATTCCCCAACCCTCCCATTCTGGGTTGGTCAGGGCATTGGTTATCTCCTGCCGTAAAACGGCATGAGCAATGGATCCCACTTGCTTTTGAAGGCAGTTCCAGAAACGGAGGATCTGCTTCACCATGTAATATTGTAAGGGGAGTTCAGCCAGCTCCGCGTACAACCCCTTGATTGACGACATAATTGAGTTGGTGGGCACCCAGGACCCAGGACCTGCTACTGTGGCTGTACACACCCCTACACCCATCCTGGCACACTCCCTTTCTTCACTCAGCACCTCGATGCACCTTTGTGGTCGGTATACGACCCACTGCTGCCGGGGGGGCGCCCATCCAGCGATGCAAGTGGACCCTGCGGGACTCAGTGAACACCGTGATAGGCCACATGAGGGAGCACGTTCCTCACCATGGCCAACTGGAGTCCGTGTTTGCAGCTGTACGTGTCCATGTTGCCAGAGCGCCACGTTCTCCCTACATCCCTGTACATGATCAACCGCCTGGCAGGCGTCCGCAGCTGGTCAGATTTCATGGTGCACGTCTGCAGCGCTGAGGGGTGCCCCGGTCACATGTACGGCAGGCCGACAGGGTCGCTTGAGGAGCATGGCGACAAGTGCCCGCACTGCTCTCACCCTAGGTACTCCTTGAAGGACGTCGCGGGGCGCGCTGTCTGGGAGCCAGTGCACTGGTTCATCTACTTTGGCATTGAGGAGGTGGTCCGTACGGAGTTCTTCACCAACCCACAGTTCTGTCGGGAGCGTGGGCAGTTCCGCGGGGATGCAACCCCCGGCTCGTCCCAGTGGCAAGGTGGGCCGGGTGACCATGGCAGGAAAGGGCGAGCCGTTGGTAGCCGTTTGCATTTCGCCGCACCTGTTCAAGGGGTTCCACAATGCGCCCTCGCTTCGTTCTCCAGCCCTTGCATCATTGTAATAGTTGTAAGCAGGCATGGGGGTGCAGCAAAAGGGGAGTCTCGCAATCAAATCCCATGCTTTTTTAGCTATTGCCACCGTGATTACCAACCGTCGGCTGTACCTGGTCCCAGGCTGACGAGATGTGCCCTCTCGCCCTTGCCTTATGCAGGCGAGTGGGTGGAGTCGCTGAAATCCTATGCTGGCGGCATAGCCCTGCACCCAGACAGCTCTATCTATGACATCGGCATCGACTGGATTGCACCCTACAACTCTACACAGCACAGTATTGGCATCCTGTTCATCCGTTGTGCGGACATGGACCCCCATAACAAGGGCAAGATCTGGAATCAGGGTGTCATCGCCATCATCCCCGGCCCCAGGATGCCGTCTGTCCTCCACCCCTACCTCCAGCCCATCGTCGACGACCTCCTCCGCCTTGCCAGTGATGGTATGCGTGTCTCACCTGCTGCTGCGCCTGCCAATCCGGAGGCTGCAGAGGGTGCTGCAGCTGGTGGTGCTGGAGGGACAGCTGTGGGCGGCATGGCTGACGGGCAGGCGCCTGCTGATGGTGACCTCCGGGGCACGCGGCCCTTTCAGCACCGGGTATTCCTGGGCCAGGTGCTTGCAGACACACCCGCCAGGGCAAAGGTGGCATGCGGCAACGGCCAGAACAGTCGTGTCAGCAGCTGCACATGGTGCCTATTCGAGGCACACATGGAGGCCAATGTCGGGCACGGGGCCACTGTGCGCTTCCGTGGCTACACCCAAGCAGTCAGCCAGCACTTCGTAAAGCGGAATGCAGGCAAGAGCCTGAAGGTCGGCGCCCGGGCTCTCAAGAAGACCCATCGGCATTTCGTCAGCACGGGCGGTGTCATGCAGGCGATGTACAGGATGCTCCACCTTGGGGCTCCACACAAGATCACACAGAAGCAGTTCGACGAGGTGGCGCTTCAGACTGGATGCAAGGGCCTGACTGCCTTCGTGGCCCTGCCGTACGTCAACCTGTCGTGCCTCTTCACCGTCTCCACCGGCCATGCCCTGCTGTTCGGAATGGTCAGCAACTTTGTCACACGCTGATGTCGACACGCTGACGTTGCTCAATGACATCAAGCCAGCAGACCCAGATGCCGAGCTGGTCATGTCTCGTGAAGCACGCCAGCGGATCGCGGCCCGTGGCCAGTTCCTGGTCGTGACTTCGGACTTCGGGCGGCGGTACAAATGCATCATGCAGTACCGGTGAGCACGGCCAGCACTGGGCAGCCGGCCACATACAGGGGTCGCTAATAGCCGAGAAAGCAAATACGACCAGGGGCTTGCCTGAAAAAAACACCTTCGTCTGTCGGAGAGTTTGCTACTCTAGCTCTGTAATGTACTTCTCTAGTTACACAGTTGCTCGCCACACTACCCCCCTCCACCCATGCAGCAAGAGCTACCGCATGGAGGACTGGCTGCACTTCATCGAGACATCCTCCAGCTACATCTTCAAGGGGGACGTGCTGCCCGAGGCCTGTGGTGGAGCCTGTGCAGCACGGTCACACACTACTTCCGGCCACGGCCCCCCGACAAGACCCGTGAGCAGTTCCTGGTGGCAGCCAAGGCGGCTGCATGCAAGCTCAGAGCTTACGTGACCAGGCTGGAGGAGTTGGAGGTGCCGGGCTACATGTTCACGGTCAACCTGCACATCTGCATATGCCGGCTGTACGACCAGGAGTGCCAGCTTGGGTCCACGGCAGGGTTCTCCGACCTGCCGGTGGAACACATGATGCAGCAAATGAAGACGCAAGGCGGAAGGATGGTGTCACAGGCACCCGAGAAGCACTACGCGCAGTGGCTGTGCCTGATATGGGCCTCCGAGTCGCTCACCGAGGCAGACCCCGCGACCGGGGCCAAACACACGACCAACCAGCAGCTTGAGAGGATGTTGGCACGGCGCGCGGTGAACACCGAGGCTGCCTGGTTTGACAAACCAGGAGCCAACGGTTACCTGCTTGGATGAGGCCACACAGTCTACCCGAGTCCGGAATGAGCGGCACAAGTCTGGGCAGCCATGGCGAGCCTAGTGCACTGGTACACCCTGGCATTCGAGGATGTGGCTTCCTGGACATTGGGTCCCAGTGCGAGCTACGAACTGGACACGGACCGCCTGGATAGGGTTCTCACATCTACACCACCCGACTGTCCTAAGGCCCACTCCTTTTTGCATGCCG